AGGATCTTTCCGGTAATAGTTCCCGAAATAAAGAAATGTGGCGTAATACCATATGAGTGGGAACACAAATCCGAGAAGAAAGCTGTAAGAGGAGATAACGAGGAAAATATAAATCGAAGCAAAACCAGCTAAGAATGTGCAGGAATTCAGAAAGAAAGCAATACTCACGAAAACCATCCAATTCCACAACCAAAACAAGGGAGAGGTTTGTCATATATCCCAAGTTCCATGTTGTCCGCGTCTTTTACAAGCTTATATGTTCTTTTCCCGCAGCCCATAGAATCTATCACAAAGAATTAATGTGACAGAATGTCGTCTCTTAGTTCATGGATAGAAAGCAATACCAAAACCTGTCTCAAACAAATTAATTGTTTTGACATAACTATGTTCCCAGGAATAGAAGCACTGATGCAATTGCAAAGCAGATATAAGCATATTATAAATTGAACAAACCCGATGGTTTATTTTGGAAAAAGCGGATGGATCATGGATTCAGATATAGGATAGGATTATCCGACAAAATACTCTATAGAGGCCTAGGTTTCCAGAAAGCAGGAATGTTTTTACCTTTGAATGCATGACAATACCGAGCAGCTGGTCTCATGAGATATGCATGCTTATTAGCAATGGATTTCACCAGCTCAACACCACTGTTTCCAAGCTTTTTCACAGCCCCCAATTTAGTACCTGCTACAAAAAGATGGGTATTTGTTGCCCACATTAAAATACTGTATATCCCCAAGTCAACTGATATGAATCTTAACAAAAGGTTAAAACCAAAAAAACACATGATAGCAACTAATAAGAGCGACAACCAAAACTGTCCATTCTTAACAACCATCATGTCATTACGAGTCACGATTTATATAGCATGAGAGAAGAGTTCCTTCGTAGCTAGTAAACCACTCAATTCTCTAAGAATCAATCAGATATTATCATAGAAATCAAGCGGATGGGTGGCATTCTTTAATCTCAATGCCACTCACTGACTCACAGTTACGAATGCACAAGGCACAAGTCATGTGCCCGCGTTACAAAACAGTCTCTCACATCACATCGCAGCCAGTAAATTACTCAATATATGAATGGTAATCTATATTCTGTCTTTCCTAATAACATGAACTATTGCTTTCACACAGATTAACATGACTCCTCTCGCAACTGTAAAATCTAATATGAACATGAGATATGAGGGCAAGAAGATTACTTTCCGCCATTAGCTCCTTCAATAAAAGCACGAAGGCAAGACCACGGAATAGACCGTTCGAATGTCTAGGTCTTGCTTCACCCAATTACACTGAGACGTCGATAGGGTTCTTCTCTCCTACCAAATTGACTTGCACGACCTCCAGATCCCTGCATCCCACAACTACAACAGTATGATTCCCCGGAACAATAAAAAAAATAATCAAATCCTAAGGCATATTTCAGTCACCGAACATTGAGACCACGAACGCTTCAAGTAAACCTTAGCGTAGCAGCAACCAAACTGGCGAGAACTTGAAATCCTTCAACAGAACCGTGAAAGACGAAGTCTAACAATACGAGTCTCTCACAGAGAATTCAGAAAATAAGCAAGATTCTACCACCGCAGAAACCCTAGAACCCCATCAATCCTACAATCCGGCGTTTATTGCGCAACCGAAGAATGCGATTCGATTGAGAATTTAAAATGACTCACCAGGGAAAATCTGGTATCGACAACGAAACTACGAGAATTTGAGATCGAGAACAATGAGAGGGAGAGAGAGAAGTGGAAATCTTGGGGGGCGGGGAGTCAAGCCATGTCCTCCTCCGTCTTCACTTTACAAATCGGGGGAAAATGTTTTTTATTTTATTTTATTGTAAAATAAGTTTTTCTGATGAAGAGAACTTCATGAATTTTGTGGGCCCTAGTGTTGTTGGCATTTATATACAGATTGGGCCGAAGCTAATTGGGCCAATAAATAAGCGAAAAATAGGAATCCACTAACTCAATTTAACCATAATTTTTATGTAAAATATAACATAGTAAGCATAACTCACCAGCAGTATAAATTAATTAACGAATAAATACTATTAATTGTAATTAGTTGAGTTAATAGAGTGTCGAAAATTAGAGCAGTTTATAAACGTTGGTTTAAGAAGTTCAAATGGTTTATAGAAATTTGAATTTGTAAAATTGAAATTATTTTTTTTAATAATCATTTTCTAGTCGTAAGACCAATCAATGAGGGAAAAGTATGGGAAAGGGGGAGGGGATTGGGAGGAAGGGAAGAAACAAACAACCATTCGTCGTCGTCGTCGTCGTCGTCTTCCTCGTTGACTGCTTTCCATTTATTTCACACATACTGATCTCCGACTGTGTATGTATATGCCACACACGTGTGGAGATCTTCCTTCAATAGTGTTCTCTTCTCCAGGGAGGGACGCCTCGAGGCTCGATCAAGTCATGAAGAGAAGCTGCTTGAGCCCTAATCTCAACCTCTCTATCCCTCCTTCCGAGCAATCCATCTCTAAATTCCTGTAATTCTCTCTCTTTCTCTCTCTCTCGGCCCTCAAATTTTTGTGGGTTTTCCGTAATGTTTATATAGGCACTGTTTGAAAACGATTCTGATGATTTGAAGAATCCTCGTGGTGAGAACTTTTGACTTGATGCCTTTTGCTTAATGGGTTCAAGTTTCCGTACGATTTGAATATTCATCAGTGGGATTCTGATTCGAGCTTTTGGTCAATCGGTTTCCATGTTGGGCAATTCTATTTATAGACTGTTTGATACGTTTGTTTCTTTAGCTTAGTCTTGTGCTCGTGTTTTCCCTCCAAATTTCAGCAACTGAACTGATTGGTAAAGCTTGGGACTTCATGTCACAGTCGAATTCGAAGAAGAGCTTTGTTTGATGTCGGATCGATAATCGGTCCATACCGACACAAATGATTCAGCAGCCCATGTAGTTGTGATGGTTCTTTATTATTGACACTGAAATGGCTGCTTTTCTTCTCTGTGTTGGGCAGAACTCAGAGCGGGACGTTCAAGGACGGCGACCTGCGAGTGAACAAGGATGGAATCCAACTCGTCTCTCAGTCCGAGCCCGGGGCTGTAAGCTTTTCTTTCTATGAACTTATACGCTTATTGAGATATGGCCGTTCTTCTGCATATTCTTGTTGCTTGTCTATGGACAAATTGGATGTTTTTTTGCAGCCACCTCCAATCAAGCCATTGGATGACCAATTGAGCTTAGCTGATCTTGAGGTGATTAAAGTCATCGGAAAGGGAATCAGCGGAAATGTCCAGTTAGTGAAACACAAACTGACCTGTCAGTTTTTCGCTCTTAAGGTATATGTCCCGTTCTGCTTGGGTGGGGAAGTGTTAACTTTTGTATTGCCAACTGGGAAAGTGCCGTTGTGGCTCATTCCATTTGACATCGTTTTCTCGGCAAATAAGATGCGGGTTTTTGCATTAACGTTTCAGGTCATTCGGCTTAACATCGAAGAATCAACATGTCGGGCTATTTCTCAGGAGCTGAGGATAAACCTGTCGTCACAATGTCCATATCTGGTTTCATGCTATCAGTCTTTCTGTCATAATGGATCTGTTTCAATCATTCTAGAGTTCATGGACGGTGGATCCCTTTTTGATCTTCTAAAAAAGGTTGAGAGAATCCCCGAGAACATCCTCGGTGCCATCTGTAAGCAAGTAATCTGAACGAAATCTCCCCGTTCTACTAGCGTTTATATCTCTTCTTTTTCAAACCCGGTGAACACCTGCAAAACAATACTCATCGGGTATATAATAATGCAGGTGCTCCAAGGTCTGACTTATCTTCACCACGAGAGGCGGATAATTCACCGTGACCTGAAACCGTCCAATCTGTTGATCAATCACAGAGGTGAAGTCAAGATCACAGATTTCGGGGTCAGTAAGATCTTGACGAACACGACCAGCCTAGCAAACTCGGTCGTGGGAACGTACCATTATATGTCTGTGAGTTGAGAGTCGCCTCATTTACTCAAAACTACTACACACATCCAATCTCCATAGCTGTAGGCCTTATGGGTAATTAGTATTTTTGGTCTTTGTAGCCGGAGAGAATCAATGGATATCCTTACGGGAACAAGAGTGATATTTGGAGCTTAGGCTTGTTATTGCTCGAATGCGCAACTGGTAAATTCCCTTACTCTCCTCCAGAGCATGGGGAGAGATGGACGAGCGTGTATGAAGTGATGAACGCCATTGTTGAGAACCCACCTCCTTCTGCTCCGTCCGACCAGTTCTCGACCGAGTTTTGCTCGTTCGTCTCTGAGTGGTAAGAATTCCGACCGGTTCCATTGGCTATGGATGAAACTTTTGACTCATTCTTTGTAACAACACCCCAATTGTGTGTAGCATAAAGAAGAACCCAGAAGACAGAAAATCAGCAAAGGAGCTTTTGGTTCGTATGATAATTTTAAACTCTGCACTTATTTCAATTCATATTTTGGTCGATGCGATACCGAAATTACGTTAAAAGTCTGGATTTTTTGTTTGGAATGGTGACAGGAACATGGGTTCGTGAAAAGGTACGATGAGTCAAGCGTGGATCTCTCGTCTTATTTCTCCAACGCAGGTTCCTTGACTCCCACGCTACCTAACCGAGATCGAATGTGAAGAAACTCTTAAATTATGAATTATTTATTTCTTATAAAGTATATATATATATATATATGCTTTGTTTGATTCCCTCTCTGTCTCCAAATCGAATAATGTAGTGATTGATAATGAACAGGTGGTTTGGTTTCACAACATTGAACAAAATAGTAGTCAAATTACAATTTCGCCCCGAGGAAAAATATAAAAGGGCTTGTTTTGATTGTGAACTCGGCTACATTATAATCTTATATCAGGTTAGTAAAAATGAATAAAAAATACTAATATTGGGAAGTAAATATTAATTACCTTTGGACCGTTTTTGGGGTATATGATCAAATATCAGTTTAGTTCAGTTTAAAGCTTTGCTCTTAAACTTCCTCTGAGCCTTCAAGTCCACGACCAAAACGCTAATGTTGTCTTTGCTTCCCTTCTGCAAAGCCAACTTCGACAAGTATTCGGCCGCCGACTGAGCCGCCGGGTCGAGCCCTTCGCCTCTCGGCTCGGCCGGCAACAGGGCGTCTCCGGCCACGGCGTTCTTCTTGTGCCATAAGAGTATTCGCTTGCGTGCCACGTCACATACTTCCTCGTTCGTCATCACGTCCCACAGACCGTCGCTCGCCAGGACAAGACAATCATCGTCTTTCACTCGTCGGATCGCCGTCACTTCCGGGTCGGGGATTATCGACGGTTTCAGATACCTGTCGCCTGGAAAGGAGGAAAGATACTTATGAGGGGAGGCTGGACCTGTTTGTTTGGCTTTTCGGATGACTAATGCCCTTGACGAAAAGAAAGCTAGAAGTGAGCATTTCGGGTTGGAAATTTGGTTCCAACCGATCTGAACCGAATAACATTTGGTATTAATTTGATACATATTTTTTTATAGAAACTAATAAGTCATTTTTGAACCGACCCGATAAATACCAAACAAAAAACTAAATTATTCACGATTATATATGCATTTATATGTAAATTTGGTATTCATAGAATGAATCGAACCTAACCGACACTAAAACCGAATGAAACCGAACCCATTAACGTTCACTTCTAATTTGGTAAAATTATAATAAAACCGAATAATCCGTTACTAAACCGAACCGAATCACGAGATATCTGAGAAAGCTTACCGATGGATCTAGACATGGCAAGAACACCGAAAACACGAGCACTGTTCCACCGTATCACTTTCCCTCCGGCGGCTTCTATCCTCGCCGCTTCGTCTTCTCTATCCGGCTATACACACACATGCGTATACATACATCAGTAATGGTGAAACTTCCTATAAAGTTAGAGTCTTGGGCAGATCCTAGATGAACCCTTTTGCATTAGATGTTGATTCACCGCTAAAAATCTAATCTTTACATGAAACTGGAAAATGGAAAATCTGTACACGTATGTATGTGTGTGTGTATATATATACGTACTTTGTGATCTACGGATAATGGGAGGGGGGTTTTGCTGCGGCAGAGAACGGCTCTGGAATCGCCGCAATTGGCAACGAATATATGAGTGGGGAAGACGACAGCGACAACAGCTGTCGAGCCGACAGTCTCTGGAGCTGCGGATTCGATCTCGGAATCCACTTTCAGGAAGGAATTGAAGAGGGCTCTCTTCCATTTCTCCTGCCATGTCTCCCCATCGCAGAGCCCTGGTTTCTCCTTCGCTATCTCCTCCGCTAACGCCACGTGAACCCTCTCACGGCAATAGTTCGCCACCTACGAAGGAAACAGAAGAACAGCGTGTTTATGTATGTTTCACAGTTCAGATCCAAATAAAGAAGCGATTGAAGACCGAGGCGACAGATGATTGACCTGACAACCGCCATGGCCGTCGAAGACGCCGAAGAAATGAGCACTCGTGTGGGGATTCAATCCGCTAGAGACACGGCCTTCGGACAACGTAGTACACGAGACCTGAAGAAACCTGGGAATGGCCGAAACAGCGTCTTCCATTTCTGGTCGTCTTCCGCATATCGAGGTCACTCCGTACAAGGGCACACTCTTGAACTCGAACAGACTTCTGCTCTCCGTTCTGCTGATCATCTTCTTCTCGCCCTGAGCCGTTGACCTCGGGTCAAACTCATCCGGGCCGTTGATTTCCTCGCCGACGAGATCGGCTACTTCCCTCAGCTTTGAACACGACGAATTTGAATTGACCCGAAAACCCAAGTCTTTCTTAGAATCAGAACAGGAACTCTCAGGCAACGAGAACCCATGTCTCCGATTCATGTGTTCTGCACTAGAAACCCTAGAATCGCCATTGTCGGTGGAGTATTGACCGTTGCAGTACCCTTTACTTAGCCTGAGTCCGGCGAATTCAAGCTGCGGCTCAGGAGGGAACGGCCTGAATGGCACAGCAACCGCCGGAGATATCTCATCCATTGATTGGCAAAACTAAGATTCAAGCGAAGCTAGTGTTTTGAAGGGAAAGGTGACAAATCTGTCAAGTGGGTGCGAGGAAACTGAAGAGCTTGAGCTTGTTTTCCTATCTTTCCTTAAAGAGGGGAGAGATGATGACGATGATGATCTATAAAACACCCGAGTAGAAGATAAATGAAGAGTCGACAAATTTCTACATAAATTTGAGAGATGGAGGCTTTATTAGAGGAGATGAGGACAAGAAACCCATGACAGAAGAGGGAAAGGTGAAAGGAGACAACCTTAGTTAGAGAGCATGAAAGATGACCAGAAACAGATAGAAATGCCCAGAAAGAAAAAAAAAACAGAGAAAATTTCCAGGGAAAATCACCGCTCAGAAAGAAAAAAAAATCCAAATCGATAAGGGTTTCCTGGATTCTGGGCAATTGGTTTCAACCTCTTAGAGATTCTGTGCTTTCTCTCTCTTCAATTAATTTCCAACTAAAATCATTTCTAGCTTCAACCAACTAAAGTTGAAAGAAGGCTCCTTTCTCTTCTTTTTCTTTTTGTTCGTGTCCCTCTGCAAACTACGAGAGGTAAAAAAAAGGAAAGAAATAAAGATGAGGATGCTAAATTATTACACAAGGGGAGATGTTTCTGTCTTGAAAATCCTCATCATCATCATCATCGTCATCATCATCATCATCATCATCATCATCATCATCATCATCATCATGCGCATGACAAACACTGAATCTCCTCGTGCCTTTGTTTGTTGTTATGTATTTACCTCTCACTTACTGTTTCGCCTCCATTATTGCATCTCTCTCCTTTTTTTTCCATTAGTCAAAATGGTCAATTTAAATCTTCATTTTTTCCATAATCACGAATAAAAATATATTGCCTCGCCACAATTTTAGCGGAATAAATATTTCAAATAATATTCTGATTCCTTGTTTTCATTCTTATAATTAAATACACAAAAGGACTTAAATTCTAAACAATTTACATACGAAAAAAAAGTAAATAATTGTATTATCTCCCGGCAAAATCGTAATTGTCGATAAAAGAATTATATTGTTTTTATCATTAAATAATACATGCAGGTTACTTTTCAATAAATCAATTTTTTTCCCAACAGAAGGAGAGTGCCGTCCGTGTTGTGTTGTTCACAGATTATTTATTACTTTATTCGTAAATAATTTTATCCATGCCGCGTGGGACCCAATGATGTCGCAAATCCGGCGGATGACCGCCACGTAAGCATGGGAAAGTCATGAGTTTATGAATGACGTGTACGGTCAGAGATTTGTTAGTTGGGTGGCGGGAAAGATGAGGAAAGGTTCATTGCACTGACAGATACATCCCTCACTTCCATAAATATCCTGCTTTTTTTTAGAAATTTATTTCCCGTAAAACAATTAAAATAAAAATGTAGTTCTCCTGCCTGAAGCCACGTGTCCTCTGTTGCTTGGACCCCTCTAAATCAGAGAAGGAAAGCTGGGCATTAAACAAATTCAATTAAATACAGTGAGCCAATCGTCTATTATTTAATATCTCCCGGCAAAATATACATTTTTATAAAATAAAATGAAACAAAACATATAGTTTTATACCAATAAATAACAATATTTTTCGAGAAAATGACCAATCTGATTATAATGAATAATCGAATCAAATAATAAATAACTGCAATTAAGTTATATTTTTTACAAAAATCGGTTAGTTACGATTTTTAAAATAAAAATAAAATAATTTCGAATCGAATGAAAATAATCAAAAAAATTATTCGAGACTATAAATAATTTTACAAACAAAAAAACTAATTCCAAACGGAAATAAAATTTTATCGAATCGAATTTACTATAAAACTAGAATAATTATAATTTTTTGAATTTGAATATAATTAACCGAAATTCTCGAATTTAATATAATCAAATGGAATAATAATTATGGACGTACATTACCCAATGGGCCGCCGATTAGGGGAATGGGCCATTAAATTTATATGGCCGAATAAATTGAATTGATTTTTGTTTAAATAAATAAATATGAAGAAATCACACAAAATGCCCACTTCTTTCACATATTGACAAAACTTTGTCTGTGGTTTTGTGGCTCTCTAGTTTCATGACCACAAGCAACTCTTCTAAGTGAATGATTAAGCGGTCGAGAGGATAAGCTGTTCATCAATGGCGTCTCTCGTCAGCCCTTCTGTTTCGATTGATCCGCAGCCAAAGGTACCAATTTGATCTGCTCGCGATTTCCTCTCTACTCGGACACTGTTTGTTCGCGAATTCGGAAAATTTTCTGTCCTTTCTTCTCGAATTCGATGAGATTAGGGTTGAAATGTGGAATCATCATGGTGTGTTGTTTTGAATCGATCGTTTCGTTCTAGTGTTCGAAGTTTGCTTGCGTAAACGTATCTGCAAAGACATATTTCGAGATTGGGAAGAACGTCCTGAGAAAAGGAAGAAGATTCAATGGGGGATGTGGGTTGAGGACGAAAGCTCAGGGATCTGTTGAAGGGGCTGTGGTAGAGAACAAAACTGATCGGCTCGGTAATAAATCTTTTTCTTTCTTTCTTTTTTCCATTTCCATGATCAATTTCCAAATTCATTTACGAACATTTGTATGGTTTTGTTTTTTTTCAGAGTACGGTGTTGTGGGAGTTCATCACGTTGGATTGCTCTGTGAAAATCTCGAACGATCTCTCGAGTTTTACCAGAACATTCTCGGTCGGTATTATTTCAAATTCAAGTTCACTCTGAAACACTGTTCGTGTGATGAAGTTGGTAAGCACATTGCTCATTTGTCTGATCAAATCAGGTCTTGAGATAAACGAGGAAAGACCAGATGAGAAGCTTCCGTACAGAGGGGCCTGGTTATGGATTGGTTCGGAGATGATTCATCTAATGGAGCTTCCGAATCCGGACCCGTTGACCGGTCGTCCCGACCATGGTGGCAGGGACCGTCATGCTTGCATCGCGATCCGTGATGTGTCCAGGCTGAAAGAGATTCTCGACAGAGCTGGTTCGGTCATCACTTTCTTTCTTTTTTTTGGATTGAAGGATTTTTTTTTGTTACGTCTTTACTGAGATGGTTTTGTTTTGAGCTAACTGTAGGGATTCCGTACACAATGAGCCGGTCGGGAAGGCCAGCATTGTTCACAAGAGATCCAGACTCAAATGCCCTCGAGTTTACCCAAGTTTGATGATCCCTCAAGCTACAAGCATGTGTATATATATGCTTGAAGCTATCTATGTATTATATGTATATATGTTTGTATGTATACACCATTGATTTCCTTGGATGCTTTAACTGTGTTTAGGTAAAACGAAATATTTGCCAAAATATAGATACGGAAAGAATGTATCCCAACACACACAATGAATCACGTACAGGAGGGGATCGGGTTGAATAACCGAAAATATTATTTGGATTTGTATGCGAAATTATTTTATTTTAAGATTTGTATTCAGAATTGAGGGGATATAATTGTTTATAACAAAATTATTCTGGTATTCGTTTAAAAATTATGTCATGTAGATTTATATTCGCGGGCATTTACGAATTCGGATTCAAATTTGAAAGAGAGCAAATATTTTGAAGTCGGGTATTGAGAAACTTTTGGAGATTTACAGATGACTGTTATGTTCCTAACGACATATCAGAGAGAGAGATAGGTCCGAACCATGATAGAGCCAGTTGGGTCGGAGAAGAGATGATGGATGAGGCGTTTCCTCATGTCGTTCGGTGCTATCATGAACACGTACAATGCGAATATCATTAGCTCTGTTGATGTCAGTGTCGACCCCAGGAATCCCTGCCACATCCTGCACCATTTATGTATGTCTTTCTTCAGATATATCAAACAAAAGATTGTACAAAAATGGATCACATTCTAAAATTTTTTCGGGCTCACCAGTTTGGAAGGCGGAAGAAAGTGTGGAAGAACGACCTGATGCCTTCTATGTCGAGTTCCAGTATGAGAGCTAACCCGAACAGGAAGAACGATCTCTGCCTCTTCCTTTCTCTTGGCCACAGTGAATTCCAAGCTTCATTTGTATATACAACAAAAATCAAACAGGAAAACAGAGTGTGCATCTTTCACGAGCTGTTGGTTCTTGTGGATATTATTTTAGCTTCTTTTACCTTGCATTGAGATATTGCTGTTGTTTCCGCCATTGATGTGTTTTGTGGTGGAAGGTTTGTTTCCAAGTATTCTCGCTATTACAGAAGCGTATTTTGGAGCCTCGGACAGTGATCTTACTACCGAATAGCCTGTTTCATCAGTAGAAGAAAGACAGGATGGGCAGTCTCAAAAATAAATCTGAGTAACCGAAGCATGGTTAGATGATCAAACATGTTCTTACCTGTTGCCGGGTGTACCATGCTCGCGGCTGCACCAAAGGCGAGATTCTTCTGTTCAGTGTTTGGTAGGGAGCCTCCAACAGGGATGTAAGACCATTCCTGCGGTTTATTCAGAATAACTAAGAAAGCAACCTAGCAGAAACTGTCTGAAAATCTCTCTCCATGTTTCGGAAAATGGAAACTTTTGATCACTGTTGCTCGTAGGGAAGGATACCGTTAACGGGTTTACATTTTCTAGGCAGAGATTATTACCTCTTCATAAATTTTGAGAATTCGAACTCCCATTGTCTCTAATCTTATCATGAGCTTCTGCTTGAGCAAATCGAAAGGCATGACCTCTTTTGAGGCCAAGCATGTCTCCTGCTTGGGGAATGGTTCACTGATAAGTAGCAGAGTTTTAAACTCAACAATTTAGATATATAACATGTGAGAAACGGAAGGAGAAAACCTCAAAGAACACTCTCGTCTTTGACATAGACATGGCGTATAGGAACGTTGGATACTCAGCTTCTAAACTCCGGATTTTCTGTCTGGTGTAATCTCTGTAATCCATGAAAACCATCTGGTCTGGATCGTATGGATTGTTTTCCACCTGTAAATGTTTCATATAAAAATGCCAAAAGAGTTCATCTTAACAGCAAAAGTCTTCTCTTAAAAAAGATTCATCAGACATCCCCGAACATTTTTCGGAGTTTCTAAGCAATGGGTTGTTACTGCAGAATACCATATTGTACCTCAACCTCCACGCCGTATGCTGTCTGGACAGACACCCTCGGACCCCCAACTTCATATTGCAAGAGCTTTCCTGAAGCTGCTCCCGATGCAACAGTGGCAAGCCTGTTCTTATTTTGTGTCAGAATCTTCAAATGGACAAAGCCAAAATAAGACAATACAAAAGTCTTAAAGTCTTGTACCTGCAGGGAACGATAGTGTTGTGTTCGCAGGCAACGAGGCTGTGGCCATCAGCACCTTCCAATATGCTATCGACTTTTGAGCTAAGATACGAGACACCTGACTCGACACACCTAGAAATTAATTAATGGATTACGTATCCAAAACAAGTATAACCAGAGGGATGAGCAATAACTAGAGGAAGTGAAATTTCAGGATCCAGAGTGGAAATTCTTACCTCCTCAACAGCTCCTCATGGAGTAGATCCCGACTGACTCGCCCGTAAGCACGGCCAATCGTAATGGGTTTGTCATCGTCCAGGTACACAATCGTGTCTCGCCAGACATGCTCGATACATTTTTGCAGCCCGAGGTCTGAAAGATCATAAATGGACAACAAGATGCCAATACAAATAAGAGAAACAAGGCTTTTTGGATAGAATGTAAAGACTACGGAGAGATAATTTCTAGAATAGCGACGAGATGGGTTACCTTTGAATTCATCTTCCCAGACGCCGTAATTGTTCGTGAAAGGAAGATCCGGTCCGATGAGTCCGACCCTTAACCCGAGTTTAGCTGACTCTGCAGCCAAGGCAAGACCCGCAGGACCACAGCCAATAACCACCAGGTCTAGAACCCCATCACCAATCGATATTGGAGGTAACTATGAAACCCCGTTACAAAAATGGAGTTGTCAGGTATAAGCTCTAACCAGAACATGAACATGAACATGAACAACAAGATCTAAACATAGGAGATGAGAAACAGTTGCAAGAATTAAGGTGAATCTCTAGCCAAAAACATCAACAATGATCATAGGAAACTGCTGAATTGATCCAGAATTTGCATTTGATAAGGTCACTAAGATCGAAAGAAAACAGAGAAACTGGAAAAATCACGTAAAACACAACCAGATTGAGCATCTGATTCATGAAATTAGGCTTGAATTTCTCCTAAGATCACACGGAACGTCCGATTCCTTCCTAAACAAGTAATTCACTGACCTTATCGGCAAGTTTGGACTGCCCATCCATGTTCTTTTTCTGCTGCATTTGGACGAACAAAAGCTCCGAACCACCGCCCCTCACGTAATCTTCATCGTCGGCGAAATCTTCTCTCACCGCCACGCAACTCTTCCCCACGGCGCCGCCTCCGCCGGCGGCGGCTCTGACTCTGCACCAACTGTACCGAAGATTCGTAAACCTCTGTTTTGTAGCCAGAGGGAGCTTTCTTCGAGACCTCCGCGACGGAAAAGCGGAAACCGCCATTGACGCGAAGTTCCGAGCTCCAACGCACTCCATTTTCCCCCAAAAAAATTTTAAAAAAAAAAACTTAAAGAGATGAAATTATCAGAGATTCTCGTCGTCAAGGCGAAGACGAAAGATCTAATGCCATTGATATCGAAGCAAAAGTCCACATGAAAAAGAAGGGTTCGGTTCAATCATTTGCACGAGTGATCGGGAGAATATTGTTCCAATTTTCCAATGGGTTGGAGAGCAGAGAGGGCTCGAGCGAGGATAAGGTTTGGAGCCGTTAAGCGGTAAACCCGATGACGTGGCAGACCGATCACCGCGTGGATGATTTTCATTGGTTGAACAGTGAGACTTTAGCCGAGGAGACGACAACTCATCAGGTCTCGATAACATGTTGTAATATTGGGCCGAATCCGAATTTGGGCCTTCACAAACAATGCCATTGCCAGTTCAATTAATTAATTAACTGATAATATCCCCAAAAAAATATAAAAAGTTTACAGATTGAATCCTCATTTTTTTAAATTTGCAAATATCTGATGGCTTTGCTATTCCTTAGTCCTATTCCGTATATTTAATTAATTATTTAAAAGACAAAACGAAAGGCAAAGAAAAGTCCAAAGGCTACACCTTTGAGCAGTGAACAGAGAAGCAGGCGAAGACTGATTGGCTGATCTCTCGTATCTTAAGAATTCAGACAACCCTATTGCCGAAGACTTTGACTCATTCTCAGTCAACTCTTGTCAGATTCTTGCATTTGCTACTCCCCTTGTTATCATTTTCTGTTTGCTCATCGAACGAGAGAGTGAAATCGATCATCCAATGGATTGCACATCTCTTGTGGGCGTAGCTGCGATCTTATGCGAATATCTGTTTCAAAGAACAAGGCAAACGAGTAATCTCAGTCAAGAAATCTCCGAGCTTGAAACGTATATCAATGACTTGAAGGCCATAAGAGATGACCTGGTTAAACAGATCGAGCAAGACGAGGTTCAAGGACGGACCAGCACCCACAGAGCCAGAGAGTAACAGAACTCTGTCCAAGCCGCTGAGACAGAAACTAAAACGATTTTGGGTCATTATGAACGACAAAGGCAGAGGACGAGGAGGAGAATGAGGAGATACCTCTGTTGTTTAAGGGCATGTTGCTGTGGGGATTACAAGCTGAGCAAGAAGGTTTCGGTCATGCTGAAGAACATCGGTGAGCTAAAAGAAAGAGCCGGCGATATCAAAACTGATGGTGGGGTGAATCACGAGCATTGCAAGGAGATACCCATCAGGCCGGCGATCGGGATTACAGGAATGATGGATCAGATCTGGGAGTTTCTTGCCGAGGAAGAAACGGGTATCGTCGGGATCTATGGACCTGGTGGCATTGGAAAGACAACACTCCTTCAGAACATCAACAATGAACTGATCACGAAATCTCACGAGTATGATGTAGTGATTTGGGTTACGGTAGCAAGAGAGTTTGCCTTTTGTACAATTCAGCATGCCGTCGGAACAAGGTTGGGCTTGTCATGGGAAGAGAGGGAAAGTGGCGAGCAGAGAGCTCTGAGAATTTACAGGGCGATGAAACAGAAGCAGTTCCTGTTGCTGCTTGATGATGTCTGGGAAGAGATTGACTTTGAGAAGGTCGGAATCCCACGGCCTAACAAGGGAAACAAATGCAAGGTTATATTCACGACTCGTTCCACTTCTGTCTGCAGCGCAATGGGCGTGCAACGAAGATTGAAGATTGAGTTTCTGGGAAAGGAATATGCATGGCAGCTCTTCTGCGATAAGATCGGGAGAATAGACCTTTTGGAGTCACCACCAATTCGCCCACTCTCCGAAACCATATTAAGAAAATGTGGAGGGCTGCCACTTGCATTGATCAATGTTGGCCGGACCATGGCCCATAGAGAAACCGAGGAAGAATGGATTCACGTGACTGAAGTTCTCGATAGATCTCCAGCTGAGGTACGAGGCATGGAAGAAGTCTTTGCCCTTTTGAAGTTCAGCTACGACAATCTTGAGAGTGATCTGTTGCGAGCTTGTTTCCTGTATTGTGCTTTATTTCCGGAAGAATACTCTGTAGAGATAGAGAAGCTTGTAGAGTACTGGGTCGGCGAGGAGTTTCTCACCAGCTCCCGTGGCATTAACGCCATTTATAAGGGCTATGCTCTGATTGGAGATTTGAAAGCCGCATGCTTGTTGGAGACTGGGGATGAGAGAACACAGGTGAAGATGCATAATGTCCTCAGAAGCTTTGCGCTGTGGATGGCAACTGAACAAGGTGCTGAGAAGGAGATGATTTTAGTTGAACCGAACATGGGACTCACTGAAGCTCCCGGAGCAGAAAACTGGCGACCAGCATTGGTGATTTCATTGATGGATAACAGAATCTATAGATTGCCCGACAAACCCGTCTGTCCGAATCTGACAACATTGATGCTCCAACGCAACAGCAACTTGAAGGACCTTCCGAAGAATTTTTCACGCACATGCCTGTTCTTAGAGTCTTGGACTTGTCCTTCACCAGTCTGACCGAGATTCCACCATCCATTGAGTATCTGATCGAGTTGAACCATCTTGCTCTGTCAGGAACAAAGATAAGTGCATTACCCAGAGAGGTCGGAAATCTCAAAAAGCTGAAGCATCTGGACCTGCAAAGAACTCAGCTTCTTCAAACGATCCCACGAGATGCCATCTGTAGGTTGAGCAAGCTCGAGGTTCTTAACTTGTACTATAGTTATGCAGGTTGGGAAATGCAGGCCTTTGAACCATCAGATGAAGAAGAACTCCGGTTTTCACACTTGGAACACCTGAAAAATCTCACCACGCTTGGTATTACTGTTCTATCACAGGAGACCCTGAACATGCTCCAAGAGTTTACCGTCTTACACAAGCACATACAGTATCTTCATATCGAACAGTGCCATGGCCCGTCCCTGTTAAATCTTCCATCCGAACTTGGCAGGAGGCTGAGAAGACTAAGTATCAAAAGTTGCCATGACTTGGAACACCTGGCCGTGTCCACAGAGGCTGAAAGTACCAGCATTGACTGGCTGCCAAATCTTGAGGTTCTGACCTTACACAGCCTCCGTAACTTGACAAGGGTCTGGGAGAATCCAGTAAGCCAGGAGTGCCTACGAAGTGTCAGATGCATTAACATTTCGCGTTGCCCCAAGCTGAAGAAGGTCTCATGGCTTCTTCAACTTCCCAAGCTAGAGGTGGTTGACTTGTTCGACTGCAGAGAGCTAGAAGAACTGATAAGCGAACAAGAAAGGTACTCTGCTGAAGATCCAGCCTCGTTCCCCAGCCTGAAGACTTTATCATTGAGGAATCTCCCGGAACTGAGAAGCATCCTTCCATCTCAATTTTTGCTTCCAAATCTGGAGACTTTAGCTATTTCAGATTGCCCCAAGATGAAGGAACTGCCATTTCTAGGGAAGATGCAAAAGAAGGTGCCAACAGTTTACGGAAACAAAGAATGGTGGGATGCACTGGAATGGGACGAACTTCACCAACCTGACATAAAGCTTCTATGTCTCCCATGATTCCAAACCAAACTGATGGGACATTATAGAAACAGTCATGTACACACAATATCTGGTCGTTATACACCACCCTCGAAAATGAATGGAAGAAAAACAAAGTGCTCAACTTAAGCACACAGAGAATGCTGAAATAATTCTGTACAAGATCGTTGTAGCTGAAGTTCAAGCATGATTTACTCACATGAATACTAACTGCGCACATTCGATTCAGTCCGTAGAGATTCAGGAAAAAAAAATAAAAGATGTGATCGAGAATGCAAAGATCAGATAACGAAACCAGATACTCAAAGAACCGCCAAGCAGCAGCAGACAAAAGGGCATGGTTTAAATTGGCGTTTCCAAAGTTGCAAATGAGATCGGAGAGGAGAAGAAAGGCCAAACTTGCTCTTCACATGGTATAAGATAAAACCCTAACTCCAGAGATACTGACCCCAGCCCGAACGGAAACCACCATCAAAGCAGGTTTAAAAAAAAAAAACAAAGCTCCAAGTTCTGATGGCCTCAAGGCACTTCCTAACCTGGAATTGCAGAGATAGTAGCCAGCGAGCGAAGCTTTCCAACTCTAAAGATGACGAGATTAGGGTTTCCAATGGGAGGAGATCGTCTCGAGAGAGAGAACGAGAAAGAAGAAGGAAACGGAATCTTATACTTTTGAATTTGAATCATAGCATTTGATTTATACGAATTTGACCCATTCCGAGACTTGGGCCTGAACCCTAATTCCCCACACTAAATAAAACAACATACCACAGATTTTGGCAGAAGCACGAGACGAACGAATGCATTATTAGAAGCGGCCATCTCGATGTAAACATAAAAACACCTCGCAACATTCCCAAAAAAAACAGAAACAATAATAGTAAGCTCTTTCTTTCTTTTTTTCCCCTAAACAAAGATTACATCAACGGGCTCTTATCTCGTCGTTTAGTTTATAATTGACGATGGTGGTCAGTGGTGGTGGTGAGACCTGTGGTCGGAGAGATGGAGGGAGTCGATGCCTTTGATGGGGACATCGTAGTGCTTTCGAGCGGAGGACGACCTCTTCGCCTCCGAGGAAGAAACCCCGCGGCTGGCGTCGTTGGTGCGGCTCCTCTGCAGAAATGCCTCCCGGCTGCTGCTTCCGCTCGTCACCCTCCTCGACGATCCCCCAGACTGTGCAAACACCGATGAACTCTGCATATATACATCACCATCACCAGATGTAAAACCCACAAAAACAAAAGTCAAATTTGCAAGGCAAAATGCTTATAAAACCCATAAAAACTTGAACTTAAAGCATTGTCCTTTTTTGGGTACCCAAAAACATCACCCTTCGGATAAAAATACTTTTTTTTTTTCTAAAAACAGATATGAAAGGACAGATTCGGATGTTCAGAGAGTGTAGAGGGACAACAAGTGAAGAGTCGGAGAAACATACCATAAGAGAGTCTCTAGCAATGGCTGACTCTCCAATCCTCTGTTGGTTCGAAAGGTTCCCCGAGTTCTCAATAGTTCCCGACATTCTCCGCCTCGTTGATTCGCTAAACCCGACCTGACGCCCTTCTTCCTCACCTTCGTTTCCAATTCCAACCCCAAGAGAAAATGAGAGGCGGAAACAAAAAAAAAAAAGATTATTTTGATTGGTGATTTGAACATGTACCTGTGTATCGATCGATGCTGGAAATGCCTGGAGGCAACCCGGCACTCGTTCCAACACCAGTATTCTACAGGAAAACAAACACTCGATGAGAAAATGTCCAATGCCTGTTCCGTTGGGGCGAGAGAAATAAGAGAATCACACTTACAATGCCACGGGACGGCGGAGTAGTCAGTTGGGATTGTTGATACTTCAAGATGGTCCAGTCAAACACGTAATCGAATTGAAACCCTGCATCATATACCATTGAATCCTGTCAGGGTTTTTGCTAAAAGAATGATATAGGTTCGTTTGTTTTGATGAAGAAGAGAACTTCAAAAACCTTCGCGGATAAATAGATCCCGGAATATTCTCTTGAGATATGCGTAATCTGGTTTATCGTCAAAACGGAGTGATCGGCAGTAATGGAAGTAGGACGCAAATTCAGACGGGTAACCACGGCATAAGGCCTAGAATAGACGATCATAAAAAAAATTCAGATTGCATGAAATTCATTTTGGAATAAAGCAGCAAACTTGAGAAGGGACTTACCTCGATGGATGTAGAGACTTTCTTTTCACTAATCCTCTCGTACTTTTGCTTCTTCGTTCCAGCCTTCAGTCCTTGCCATGGAAGACTGGAAATGAAAACTTCCGAGGGTCAGCCAATGTGAAAAAACAGAGCAGATCAGAGCTGGGCATGTAAGCAAAAACGAACCTTCCTCTTAGGAAATACATGAGGATATAACCGAGAGATTCTAGGTCATCCCTTCGACTTTGTTCTGGGTAAAGAAAAAAACATATGAAAAAGTGTCAAACCTCGATATCTAATGAAGAGAAAGCTTGGGAAAATAAGAGACTATAAAACTGAAGCAGACTTTTCAAGCTTACCGATTCCTAGGTGGGTGTTCATGCTCGCATATCTTGCAGTTCCAGTCAAATTCTTATTCTCCCTGCAATATTATATGAACCAAGATCGGCATCACATGTGATTTGGCATCTACGCAACGATCCTGCTGCCCAATGGAAGAACAAAAGGGAATTGACGCATAATACAGTCTCGTCTTACCTGTAGGGAATATGCTGATGGGTTGTACTATCCCTGTATTTCTTGGCCAGTCCAAAGTCGATGATATATACCTTCAGAATGTTATAATAATCAGCCATTCTGATGAAAACAAAAGGAGAACCAAAAGACCATGACCATTATCTTAAAGGATTAAGGTGATAAACCTGGTTTGCCCGTCTTCCCAAGCCCATGAGAAAATTGTCCGGCTTGAGATCTCGGTGAAGGAAAGATTTCGAATGGAAAAACTCAACACGGTTGATCTTACATATAAAACAAAAGAAACCGGTGAAAATCTGTCACTCCCGAAACAAGGAAATTTTTTTTAAAAAAAAGGGGGGGGACCTACCATCTGATCTGCAAGCATGAGAACCGACTTCAAGGAAAGTTTCCTGCTACAGAAATTGAATAGATCTTCAAGGCTCGGTCCAAGCAAATCCATCACCAAAACGTTGTAGTCCCCTTCGACTCCAAACCATTTGATATTTGGAACCCCGGCTGCCAAAGTTAAAACACAAGGATAAAAAAATAATGCAAGCCGTGAGAATCAGAACATGGGAATAATACCAAGCTCCTTATCAGAAAATACGGTTTCTTAAAAGAAGAATCATTACTTCCTCCCTGAAGAATCCTATATAACTTCGATTCATATAACAGCTGTGGATGTCTTGTTTTCACATTTTCCTGCAGGAAAAATGGATACATTATCAGCTTCCAACTGCTATAAAACCCAGCAACTCACACAAAACCGGTCGAAATTATCCTGGAAATTTTCAGAAACCGGAAAATAGAGACATTTGGCAATGTGGGACTCCAAGCTATCTGAATATACATTACTTGGAACGAAAAATAGATAAAATTGCGAGATTATCGCCTTTTTTCCTGCGAATGCTGATCAAATTCAGGCAACTAGAACAATGTTAAAAGCCCATGTCCTAAATCTCGCCAAAGAACTTCCTCCACCGTGCATTTTCATGGTGAGACCAAATGAATAATCAGACAATTAAGGTATATACCTCCATTCCAGCCTCTACTAATAAGAATTATACAGAAATTGAATGAGAAAAACACCAAACGAGGATTATCAAAAGCTCATCAACAACACTCACAAACTTAATTGCGATCTCCTCATTCGTCTGGATATTAGTACCTAATAAACACCACAATTAAGAACAATATCAGAATACTCCAATATCAAACCCCATGTAATTTAGGGGAAATATCCAGCAAACGAAAACGACAAGAAAATCGAATCGGGAAGACGAACCGAGGTAGATCTCCCCAAACGAACCGCTTCCGATCTTCCGGCCGAGCCGAAACTTGTTTCCCACGCGAGGTTCCATCACAAACGACGACCCGAATTCCGAAACCCTAACTACAATCTCAAGCCCTACGTTGATTCAAAGGCGATCCTTTTCCCCAAAAAAAAGGAAAAAAAAAAACTTTCTTTGCCCCAGAACCAGCCGCGCCAACAACTCGTAATCTCCAAATATGTATATAAAAAAAAATTAAAAGAGATTCATACAAATCCAATCCCGGGTAGGAGAAAACACAAAGAAAAGGGGGAAATTAGCGGATTTTTCCGCCGACAATGGGGCAAATAATTCGCAGGAACAAGGAGAAGAAACAAAACCCAATAAACATCTTCGCCCACCTCTCGATCGAGAACAAATGTTCGTCACAACCGAATGCCGGGTTTTTTTTCCCAAACGTCTCTAGAATTCGAACGAAGATAGAAGAGTTTCGATGGACAGAGAACAAATAATATGAGGATGTTTTTCAAAGCTTGGTCTTTTCCTTTTCTTCTCCTCCTCTCTCTCTCCTCTCTCTTTCCTTGCGGCTTCACGGTTCCGGTTTCATTGGAAAATTTCCCGGTTCGGTTTAAACCCTAAACCCGAATCCGGTTCACCTTAGTAGGAAAATCACATTAACATCTTTAACAAAAAAAATCACATGAACATCTTTCAAAACACCATCAACAAACTTTTATTTTTTATTAATTAACCAGATTGCACTAAATCCATAATATATTAACTCCAGGTACCATATTATCTAATAAATTCTATCATCTTTTCAAATTTGTTTGGGACAAAATATCTTCCGAAATCAAATAAAATATCGTCATTTAATTTGTTTGGTCAACCACCTACTTTAGGACAGTGAGAAAAGGCGGGTTGGAAATTATCGGACAACTAAACTAACCCTTAACCGGAACCGATTCGGTTTGGCTACGGTATGGCCCCGTGCGAATTTCAATATATTTTTTTAAAATAAAATGTTTATTCGGGAACGAACGAGAGAGAAATGGGTGGCCAGGCGTGTTGGCTACGCGTGCATGAACGGCACGTGACTTTTCTACACCTGTGAGTCAGCGTGACGTGATGGGCACGTGATATCCATCGTCTTCTGCGTCCATCTTGTTGAATGTTGACCATACTAGGTCCGGTCAGAGTCTTACATACCATACGCCGTACGTTGGAATCATGACAGCAATGTTTCGGTCAACATAAGATCACATCTCACGGTATTAAAATAGTTTTATTTTTCAATTACGTGGAATAGTTTTTAGAGATTTCACATTAAACTATACATGATTTCGATTATAATAACTATAGATACAATTTACCAAAAAAAAAGAACTATAGATACAAGCTATATATAATAACTTCGATCTAGGGGAATTTTCAAGTTTGAGAAATCGTGATATATGATGTAAACAAGATTCATGTAAGATCTATATACCTTATTTAGTTGTTTTTAGTATATCTGATTTAGTAGAGGTTTTAATTAGATAAATTTAAAAATATAAATTGAATCTTCAAAATATAGATTAAAAACTATATAAATATTAAAAATACAATTCCTGTTAAAAAATAAATATATATACTATTTCCAATGAATACAAACCAAGAAGAATCACCCAATGCGGGGAAAATTGGCATAAAAAATCCAGGGAAAAAAAGAAAAAGAAAAGGAGAGATTTTCTCCCAAATAAATAAATATATTTAAAGAAAAAAATATTAGTTTCTTGGGCTAGGGAGACCCATGCAAGCGAGACGAGGAGAGAGTCGAATATTTGGTCTGGGCCGAGGCGAAGGCAATAGGCCCAATAAATCACTTGGCCCATTCGCCACTCTAGGCGAAAGGTTGACTTGCTCGAGCGCCCGCGTCTGTAGCTCCGTAGGATAGTCCCGCACACACCCGATCCTAGGCCCTGCTCCCGTGGTCCACGTACACGATAGGCCCTTCTGTTCTCTCGACTCCTGAACCGTCGGATCAACGGCGACTACCTTGCACTCATCTTGGCCGTCGGATTTCGCTCTGCTCTTCGATTCCGATCTTTCGTCTCCCTTGGCGAGATAGTTGTCATCGTCAATCGCACACAACTGAAAACAATAATTACATAATCAGCAACTGATCTGTGATTAAGTTAAGCAAATGCAATTACTGGTTCAATTAATAACTTAATCACGATACCTTTACTGTAGTGAGATCGACGTTGTTTTCTTCCAGAAAACGTATGAATTCCCGGAAATTCTCCTCCGTCGGGAGATAATGACCACTGTACGGCCACACAGCCTATACATATATATATATATACAAACATGTGTACGAACGTGAGATATTATATATACACACACACACCAAAAGCGAAGGAGATTATGCTTAAATTTATCAAGATTAACTAGTGTACCTTGAGAGAGCCGTTGTCTGCGACGATTCTGCCGGCGGCGGTGATGGCGGCGCCGGAGAGAAAACTGGAGTGTTGAAAGAGACCCTTCTTCTTCGGACCAACGTACAATGTTCTTGTCGTGCTCAGGACAAATATCCACTTGGATCCCTCCTCTGTTTCCACCACTTCTCTGCTTTGCCTGTAAATCAGCTTTCCCCCCTCCACCACCACTTCGTACGCTCGTCTCTCTTCCTGTTCATGAATTCAATATTAAATAAATATATATATATAATCAAAATTGATTGAAAAAAAGGAGAGAATAAAGTAAAAAAGCTGCATATATATTTATATTAGAGGAAACGTGTCAGTTGCATGCATGCATGCGTACGTACGGGTCCAAGGTAGGTGACGCATTGGCGCTGCAGAAGGGTTCGAGGGCACCTCTCGAGATTTATTTCTCTTCCTTCTCCAATGTCCAACCTTTTGGTTCATTTTTCACAAGGTTTGACTCGAGTCAACGCAGTTCGTTATGCAAGTGTTACAAAAAAAAAGGCTTGATTAAGTAATTATTTAGATGTACCAGAAAAAGAAAGGCTGACAGCTCTTGCTTCCGAACCAGACATCATAGTACAAATTCAAGTTGTGTCCGTACCTATGACGTGGATCAATCTGTCCCCCAATACACAAAGACAAACTCAATAACATTGTAATATAAGTTATATATATATATATAAACATCATGTTAAATGGTTAGGCCAACTTACGGCTTCTATTCAACCAAAAAAAAAAAAAAAAAAAAACAAACTTTTATTTTTTATTAATTAACCAGATTGCACTAAATCCATAATATATTAACTCCAGGTACCATATTATCTAATAAATTCTATCATCTTTTCAAATTTGTTTGGGACAAAATATCTTCCGAAATCAAATAAAATATCGTCATTTAATTTGTTTGGTCAACCACCTACTTTAGGACAGTGAGAAAAGGCGGGTTGGAAATTATCGGACAACTAAACTAACCCTTAACCGGAACCGATTCGGTTTGGCTACGGTATGGCCCCGTGCGAATTTCAATATATTTTTTTAAAATAAAATGTTTTTATCATCCTTGCACAAACCCTTTCCCACCTGAAAACCCATACCAAAACGAAGTTCAATATCGTCTAGTAATATAAAAACCGATGTAATTAGTTCCAATTACAAAAAAAATCTCATTCAATTTAGAATTTGTTTTGAACATATGTCATAATTAATACCTTAGCTGCTTTGGTTCCTGCTCTTGCCCACCTCGAGATAGCAGTCTCTGGCTTCTCATCCGTGGAAAATGATGGCGAACTTTGCTCCAATTTCCACCTTGAATAAACACATATGATATAATCAAGAAAAATGAAATAATAATCATATATATATATATATATATATATACACACGTATAAGTGAGGGAGAATTTCAAGATCAATCATAGATGTACGTGTAATTTTTAGCCTTTTGCAGTAAATTGCAGTGTTCATTTCATGGGATCAAAATTTGCAAGAACTTACTCGCACGTACTCGATACCATGACACATACCCGAACCCTAAAGGCTAATACATGTTTTCGTCTAAAAAATGACAAAAACAAAAAATTCAAAAAACTCAGCTTGCCATACACAGACATGCAGAATATGCAAAATCTGTGTCCAATATTAAAAAAAAAAAAAAATCTGTCCAAATCGGGTAATTCACCGTATTGGGAATGCGAAATCGAGGATATTAATAGATACGCTATAACCATCCGGATCATGTTATGATTAACCTAATTAATATCGAGAATCGAGGAAACATGCCCACGATTAATTCAGTAGATTTCCGTTCTGATCCTAAAGGTTTTGAATTGTTTTAAAAAACCCAAGATCGGAAAGAGCGGGGGTTTTCTGGAAATTATTAAAAGTAAATCGGAGATATTATAATAAAGGGAAAATCTGGGGGCAGTATATGGATTTTATAGATGTGAGAAGCAAAGGAATAAAACAGAACATACCATAGCTCTTCGACGACGACGGCACAGTCGGCGAGGTTTCTTCTTGTTCTGTAACTCTTGTAAACCTTCTGCAACTTAACGGCAGCGGCATCAAGCTCCGTCACCGGTCTTGGAGACGAAAACGGCGTCTTCACGGCGAAAGACAACTCCGTCGAATTTTCTGTGATCCCCAGATCGCCCCTGTTCGGACACTTTGGAGACAAGACCTCCCTTTGCTCCGCCTGGACCAGGCTCCTGAAAGAGAGGTTCCTCTCAAGAATCACGTTTTCGGGTTTAGGACCCTTCAAGTTTACGGATTTTTTCGTTTTGGCCCCGTGATTTTCGTCTCTGAAAGTTTTCGTGGGAGAGTTCCGTCTCGTGGTGTTGACGTGCTCGACCAGAGTCTTGAACGAGGGGCTCCTCTCAAGAATCACGTTTCCGGGCTTTGGACCCTTCATGATTACAGAATTTCTCGATTCGGGTTCGTGATATCGTAGGTTATTGTCATCGACCAGAGTCTTGAAAGACGGGTTTCTCTCAAGAATCGCATTCCCCGCTTTAGGGTTCTTCATACTTCTGAACTCTTTCGAGGTGGCCTCACATTTCTCGATTCTTGTCGTTTCACGTTCTCTTGTATGTTTATCGTTTGTGTTGTATGCAAAAGACACACCCATGACTTCAACCTGAAATTTCAGTTTGATTAAATTAATCACACCTCTATGATTACGTGTGTGTATATACACATATATGTATAGGTTTGCTACTGCCATGCGAGATGAATTAAGAAATAGGAATAACAGCAAATCCTGTGTTCGAGCAAAAGGAATCACAAGTTTCAGCAGAAAGTTACCTCAGAAATGAACAAACAGCTCCTCTTCCTCTATGCCCTGCATGCACTGCAGCACGACAAAAACAGAGACACTTCTTGAGACAAAAGAGAGAGAGAGAGAGAGAGAGGTTTTATGTATGGTGATGTCTTTTCATGCTCATGTGACATTCATATATATAGATACATATATATATATATATTCTGACGTATGAAAAAAGGGTTTTAGATTTCCCAGGAAAAGGAAAAAAAGAAACAGGGAGTTGAAAGATGAAGATTTTTCCAAGTGGAAACGATGTTTGGTCTTTCGTTCGTTCAAAAAGGTTTGCATGTTTTTTCCGGGATTCAAACTCCACGAGGTTTCCCGATTTGCGTGTTTTTTTTTTTACATACACACCTGTGCCATGCCCGTACGGACATATTTTAACATTACGCACACTTAAAAAAAAGTCTGAATATGTTATATTATGATGACCGAGTTGAGTGAGAGACCGAGTCACACTATTTTTTATACATATTTGTTAGCATACGTTATGGTAATTAACAGAATTGTTCATTTATATATATATATATATATACACACACTCAAACATGTATAACAAGTCTGAATATATTCTTGCGGTTCATGCTGTCTAAGTATGTTACAAGCCATTCATCTAGGTATAACGGAAGCAAACTATAATATTCAATTGAGCCCTTGTTTGACGTTGCGACTTTTGAAAAGATCAAAGTGTTCCTTATTAAATTTGCGCGTGTACACAAGTCTAATATCCACGATGATGAATCATACATATATATGTATATATATATATAGAGAGAGAGAGAGAGATATGTGCTTCCATGACTTGAAATTTCACCAAAACCACTTTTTTTTTTAAAAAAAAATTGGGAATATATTTTAGATATTATCCAAAGGAATAACACGTACGACAAAGAATAATAGTTATAGTTTATTTTATATATAGTTGAAGGGTTTTAAAATTCGGCGTAGATTATTAATAATAAAAAAGAGTGATGGGTGTGGTCAAAGAAAGCAACTCTACACGAAATAGAAGTCAATGAATGGAGGTCAAGGCCCTAACTATGGGATTTTCAAGAGTCTATGGCGTTATTTTCCCACGTACAATTGTTTGTACGTGTGATTCGTTCTTTAATTCGCTGTCAACCTCCCAAATATTCATATTAATATATTCTTTAAATGACGATAATAATATATTGTCGTGAAATCATGGAGCAACCTCACTGTTCGGGTCACCTCACAAACGCGCGTCCAAGAGACATACGGAGGACATAACTCACGACAAATAATCTCCGTATAAACGGGATGAGTAATTTTTTTTTTTTTTTTGGGGGGGGGGGGGGGGAATTTTAGAGAGGTTTTATGATAATATCCACGAACGAATATTTATTTTTAACATTGATAAAAAATAATTTGGATAATTATAGATGTTTTAATTCATACAGATTTCATCTAACATTAAATTTGTTAATATAACTCTGTCTGAACTCAATAAATGCATCGAATATACCGTCAAAACATTTGTGATATTTTTTTTATAAAAAAAAAAAGATTGATAGAATGGCCGGCCCTTCTAATCCCACACGACAATAAATACTCGTGACTTTTAACCAAAAAAAAAAAAAAAAAAAAAACCTCGGGACGATTTTTTCTCTGCGTAGGAAACATTATAATTGCGACCGCTTACATGAACCTCTGAATGACTTAGAGGTTTGGGAAACGCCGTCGTTTTGTCTCAGCTTATTCCAAAAAGCCCTGAACCCTAATCTATCGGTTGAGTTGCGTCGGTTCTCTCTCCCGTATCCAAAATCTGATCAGCTCGAGCATTTCGTTCGCGCTAGATTCGTAGAACCAAAGAGGAAAATGGTGGTACGGATCCGATTATCGAGATTCGGATGCAGAAATCGGCCGTTCTTCCGGGTAATGGCAGCTGACAGCAGATCCCCGAGGGATGGGAAGCACCTCGAGGTCTTAGGGTACTACAACCCTTTGCCGGGTAATGCAAATCTACTTGTTTTGTGTTTTGCATACACTGTGTCCATGCGTCTTTCTGTTAGTTTGATCGTTCTCTTCGTGGGTTCTCATTCGATTTCGGTGTTTGGCTTTGTGCAGGACAAGACGGTGGTAAGAGAATGGGTCTGAAATTCGACAGGATCAAGTAAGTTCTTCTGAAACTTTATCTGGTTTGGCAATAAATGGATTGTTGCTTTGCATTTCCTGATAGATCGGTAGCTTCTGGGTTAAATTTGTAAGAAGCGCCTTTGACAAATTGTTTGTTTCTGGAATTCCCTTTGTGGGTAGTGTAAGATGATTCGGGGTACCACTATGCTGAAGCTTTTGAATTTCGTTTGTAAGGTGCTTCTTCATGCTAGACAATGCTATGCATTTTCAAGTGTTATCTCTTGAATGCTCCTTTGTTCAGTGTTTAGATGAGTTGGATTATTACTTGTTCTTGTTCTTGGCCCTGCATTTTTAAGTGTTATAGTGTTGGCATGGTTCGATGGAGGTAATGCTGTAGGCTGTAGCCTTTGATCTTGTTAGCTGCCTCTTGAACAGTGCTTTACGTTGGTCCATATTCATAGTCTACACCATGTTCTATCAACTCTGCATTAATGTGATACAAAACAAGAAGAATTCCGTCCTGAATGGGTAGTATCCTTAGGTTTAGTGCTATCATTTGTTGGTTTGTTTGTCCAAAGTTGAGGATAGGCTGTTTGCACTGTTGTTTTCGATCTTATCCCTCTGGAGTAGTTTCTTTTCTAGTCGTGTTGAGAATTTAGTATCCTTAATCCTTATTGTAGAAATCAGGAATTACAATCAACTGCCGATTTAGGAAGGAAACCCACATTTTCCAAAGATCAAACATATTCTATGTGTTGATGACATTAAACTCCTCCCATCAATCCTCATGTTCTTTGGTTCTCTGCCCTTTCCGTGGTGTTGTTGCTCTATGAACAGTTTGGTGCTTCTCTGCTATCTAGTTCTCTTGGATATGAACCGTTAATACCCTGTAGGTATAAGTAAAAGAAAAACAAGCTTAGCATGAAGCATCCTCATTTTGAATAAAAGGTGCGGTTTGTTTGGAACTTCTGCATCTATGACATCAGGTGAATAGCGTCAGCACATTCGAATAGTGGCATGTGTCGAGATGTTGTCCATTATCGCGCTCTGTACATTACGCAGCTGTATTTTCTTAAACGGTTCCTGCAATAGAATCACATACATAGAGCTCTGAAGTCCAAACTGCGATGTGTTAATTCGGTTTCTCCCATAGTCGTTAGCCAAATCAAAGGCTTGATTTTATACAAAGGCAGTATGTAAATGTAATCTGAATCTGTTCTATTAACAAAAACTCACAAAATATGGGGAATTTAGGACAGTAATACTAACTTGTAGTTTTTAACAAATGAATGGTTTTTTTTGGGTATTTCTACTTGTGAAGGTACTGGTTATCGGTTGGTGCTCAGCCTTCAGAGCCTGTTCAGCGCCTCCTCTTCAGGGCCGGTGTACTCCCCCCTCCCCCGATGGTGGCCATGGGACGTAAAGGCGGCCCACGAGACACTCGTCCTGTTGACCCAATGACCGGACGTTTCTTGGATACACAGCAACCCGCTAACGATACCGAGCCCAAAGAAGATGAAGAGGATGAGCCCTGATTTCTTCAATCCTCAGTTTCTAGTGTAGCTTCTTGGCAGTTAGTTGTATGATTCATGAGTGAGGACATTAAATGATGTAGCTCCATATTGTGGTGAATGGATGGATATTCCTTTGTGCTCCGCTCTATGAAAAATAAACGACAAGATGTTTTTCCTCGCCTTTTCTAGAAACGGCACGGAGTTTTTTTAAGAAGAATGCCATATAATTTAGTGTATTTGAAAAGATATTAGGTTTTTGGAATTTTTCAATAGGACCAAATGTGTGATAGACACAAAGATATGAACCGTAAATGCATACATTAGCATGTTATCATAACACAAAAACTTACCGATATTTGAATTTTCGAATTGAATATAATTTACATTGGGGTCCATTATCTTAATCATTTTGAAATTAGTTTTTTAAAGAAGTTACTGCCGCCGAGGGGACTTTAAAACGGCGGTTGTTAGGTTTCCCGAGAGAGAGAGATTTAAGGGAACACACGTTTTCTGTGTAGTCGCCTCCCAAAAACCCTCGTCTCCTCTCACAATCTCTCTACTTTCTCGACACACCCCTTTTGATTTCTTCTCGAAATCTTCTTCATTTTGATCTCTCGATCCATCCTCAAAGGATGAGCAACGACAAGGACAACTTCAGTGTCGCCGATCTCACCGCCGGTAATGTTTTCCGATGCCTTTTCGTTAACTCCGGTTTAGCGTTTGCTTTGTCTGAGTTGCTAATCAAGTAGTGTTTTGTTTCTTAATCAATACTTTTTTGGTGGAATGTTCTTAATCAATACTTAATTGCATTTTCCGACTTAGGAGTGTTTATCTTCGCTCTTTTGATTTGGATTTGTTCGCAGCTCTCAAAGATGAGGATCGGGCAGGCCTCGTGAACGCTCTCAAGGTGAGTTGCTCTCTGTCACTCGACGCTTTGTCTGCAAGCATTTCCATCGTGCTATTAATTTTTCATTTGTTAGAAGAAGATTTGGCCTTCGATTTATTTGTTTGAGCATTCCGCGTTTTGGTTTCAATCGCATTTCCTCATCAACCAACGGCTTGATAGTTTATGGCTTCCCTGGAAAATGTCGTGAAACTGTTTATATGTTGTTCGCAGAGCAAGTTGGAGAATCTGGCTGGGCAGCATTCGGATTTGCTTGAGAATCTGCATCCTAAAATCAGAAGACGTGTCGAGGTCCTCAGGGAGATACAGGTTAGGGAGAATTTTATTCATAACTCTTTGAATTAGAGGTTCATCATGTATTGTATATTCTTTTTATCCTGTATTCTTATACGGGTAGGTTTGAATTGAGTTAGTGCCGTGTGAATCTGAATTTGAATACTTAACAGCCCTTGTACGTTTTCTTGCACAAATTGCGAGTACTGTAGTTTTTGGTGCAACCTTTTTGAAATTATGAGATAATACTCATAGGCCATAGGGTGGCCAACAAGAGATTGCCGAGCATGGGAAATTAGTTTGTTCTTTTAAAAAAAAAAATAATTTCCTGTTTGCAGGGCCAACATGATGAACTGGAGGCCAAATTCCGTGAGGAGAGAGCTGCCCTAGAAGCCAAGTATCAGAAATTATATCAGCCTTTGTATTCTAAGGTAATTAGTGGCTTGAAACCAAGTTATATTGCACCCGATTTTGCAGGTCATTAGTTTCTTAAATGCTTTATTGCATCGATCTAATTAAATCTCACATTGTTTCAAAATCTCGCTTAATCCCCTGCATTTGCACTGAGTTGTCTGTACATGTTTCAAATGATGTCGTATATCTTACTTGCTCAGCGTTATGAGATTGTGAATGGAGTTATTGAAGTTGAGGGGGCTCCAGAGGATGTGAAGACAGAACAGGGGGAAGAAAAGACCGCAGAAGGTGATCGCATGGAAACAAAGCCTTCTCTATTGGGTTTTAATCTTTCTTTAAATTATGTTTTTAACCCGTTTCATCGCTATATAATGCAGAGAAAGGAGTCCCAAATTTCTGGTTGACTGCCCTGAAAAATAGTGATGTTATTTCGGAGGAGGTTAGACAATGTACTCACTACTTTGGGTATTTGAGAATGGGCCACTATAGGGTAACATGCAAAATGATCACAATTGTGATTTCCTTTGATATCAGATCACGGAGCGTGATGAAGGGGCTCTCAAATATCTCAAAGATATTAAGTGGTGCAGAGTCGAAGAACCAAAGGGATTCAAACTTGAATTTTTCTTTGACCCAAATCCTTACTTCAAAAACACTGTTTTGACAAAGGCATATCACATGATTGATGAAGATGAACCTCTCCTCGAGAAGGCTACTGGGTAACTGATGATCCTGTCCCGTGACTGTTGAATAAACCGCATAATTTTTTCTTCACTTTCCGAAACTAATCTCATTGTTGTCCTCCCTTGCAGGACAGAGATTGATTGGTATCCCGGCAAGTGCTTGACTCAGAAGATTCTTAAGAAGAAGCCTAAGAAAGGTGCAAAGAATGCCAAGCCAATCACCAAAACTGAAGATTGTGAAAGCTTCTTCAACTTCTTCAATCCTCCCCAAGTTCCTGATGAAGATGAAGACATTGATGAGGACAGAGTAAGATAACATTTGGTCTCATAGAACTAATTACTCCAATTATATATTTATCTTAACTAAGCGATTATTATGCTCCCCGTTCTTAATGCAGGCTGAAGAACTTCAAAATCTGATGGAACAGGATTATGACATTGGGTTTGTCTTCTCCTGAACTTTCTCTTTTGTTGAGTTATTATTATTTTTTCTTTTACCAAATGCTTGTAAAAAAAAATGAGTTCTACACACCTCTATGTAGTTTTATGGTCAGGATTTCAGAACATTTGTTTATGTGATTCCTTGCTTCATGCAGATCTACAATCCGGGACAAGATTATCCCCCATGCTGTCTCATGGTTTACTGGCGAGGCTATGCAGGGAGAGGAGTTTGAAATAGATGATGACGAGGATGAGGATGAGGACGATGATATTGAAGAGGACGAGGATGAAGAAGAAGATGAAGATGAAGATGAAGATGAGGAAGAAGAAGAAACCAAGACCAAAAGAAAGGTTTTATTTTTTCCCATCCTGCCTTGTTTCCTCCTGGTGCTTTTTCGTTATAGTTTTGCCTTTCTAAAATTTTAAGATTTTAATCCTGTGAAATTTGGTTTAAATATTTTTGCAGCCATCAGTTGGCCACAAGGTATGAAACCAACTTTTTCAGAGCTAAATTCGATTTTTTTTATATATAAAAAAAGCTATATAATACAAGTGGAAATCTATGTTAAAGATGATGAGAGTGAATTTGGATGGAGTGCAGAAGGGAGGGAGACCTCAGCTGGGTGATGGGCAGCAACAGGGCGAGAGACCTCCTGAATGCAAGCAGCAGTAAGGTACCGAACTAATGGTTTCCCCCCGAGTCAAAGCCGGGTTGGCAGTTTTGCTTTCGATTGAATCGGTCTCGCCATAGAATCCCTTGTTTGCTCTTATATGATATGTCATCATGTGTGCTGTCATAGTTTTTGTGATTTCACCCAGAGTTTCTTCCTTTGTGTTTGCTTCTTTTGAACTTTATACAATGAGAGTAAAGTCTGATTGGTGTTTTATCCATCATCCTCTTTCCATTTGTTTCTGGGATTCCTGCGAGTTTTTTACTTCATTTCAATGTTGTCAAAACCCCAAAGGCAAATAAAACTTGTTCGTCCATTCAAGTACCCACCCTTCCCATCCTTGAGGAAATCTAACACTTTTGTCTGCTATATCTTTTTGTGGGACCATTGATGGTAAATTCTGAAGAGCAATAGTGTTGAATGTTTACAAATGATCAATTCATTTGCATCAATGGGCTTTTTTTTATAAAAAAAAATTCCCGGCAACGTGAATGAACCCATTTGTGTACGGAATAAATTGTGCTTAGGTGCATGCTATGCTATGTTCCCCTTTCACCCAACAAAGGAAACACATGAACCTCTAAGTCTCCATGATCATATTCTTGTTTGACAGTTCTACAAGTGATTAATCAGTGAACTCTAATCACAAAGGTTTTGGCATTGGAAAGGGAACCTCTTTTGATGTTTCAATCAATGATGTTTTTAATGTGTTGAAAAGTCAGTCTTCAAATGGTAGACCATCAATCAATGCCAGCCATCAATATATCTTCATTTATTTCTTCTCTTCAAGAGAAAAAGTCATCTTCTGATTCTCGTTTAACAAAAAAAAAAAAGGTAAGTGTCAATTTTGGCGTCCAATAAACTCATCCACGTAAAAATAGAACCAATGGGAATGTATGGACAATATTTTTTATTTATTTATACATATAATAAAACTCAACGGCTGAGATTGATCCGAGAAATGGTAATCAACGGCTGAAACACCGAGAAAACGATAACCATGTTTTATTTTAAAATTAATATTTACCGACCGCGCAACGCGCATTATATTAACCGTGGAAGGTAACAAAAAACTAACATTAAACTTTATGTTATTTGGTTAGGAAATAATCAAACTTGTCAGTCAGCCACGTCAGCAATCACTCTTCTGACGGCTTCCTGTAAGGCCGATTCGTCCCATTCTCCCTGCAAAGAACATTTCATATCAAACCTTTACTTAATAAATTTCTGCGACTGTAAAAGTATTTACTGCTCTTAAATATCTAATCAACGAATGATTTATATCTTTTTTTATCCTTTTTACAATCTGTAAATGATTTATATTAGAGATTTTTCCTAACTTCGTTATAATATTAACAACTTGTCTCCAGAGTTTTACTATATGCCATTTAAATTAATCATAATTCGATATATACTTTGACTACGTCTTTTGAAGACCAAAAGTTTCCAATATTTTATGTAATCTCAACTAATCCACAAAACCCATCAGGAAAAAAAAAATCTAATCGCATGGATTATGTAATTATTCATCACATTGGTGAAGCAAAAAAAAAAAAGATTGTCGGTCCATTAATGTGAATTACTGACCTCAATCATGAGCCCTAAGCTCAGAAGCAGAAGAGGAGATGAATCGCCACCTTCTTGAGTTAGAGTTCGAGCTTCAATGGAAACTAAGCTCACATTGCTTACACGCTTCAAGAACTCTATCAATCTTATGATCAAATCATCAACGCTAACATTTTCTCCTCTCACAACCACTCTTAATCCCGCAGTCTTCTCTCTTCTTTTGATCCCAACGGTCAATCTCTGACCTTTTCCGAGACTTTCCATCTCTCTTTCTCCCACGAATTCCGCCCCAAGCTCTCGATTTCTCTCCTTAAGCCTCGAAACCTCTGATTGAAGACGAGTTATTTGTTCTCTCGCGCCTTCTAGCAGTGAGGCTTTGTCTTTCTGGTCATCGTACAACGAAGATCTTTGTCAGGAACTCTGACATTATCGTCTCTTGTCTTGAACAATATATACACGTGTGTGTGTGTGTGTAAATATATATATTATACATATATTTTTTAAGATAAGCCGATCAATGGAAGAGATACCTTAGTAGTCGGAGGAAGGAGAAGTCTCAAGGCTTGGAAGCTCTCGTTGAGTTTCTCACGGCGTTTCCTCTCCGTTATCATGTGATGCAACTGTGTCGCGGTTGGACTGCCCCCCATATCCAAACGCTCTCGCCTTATAACGTCAAGCCCACGATAAAACGCGATCGCCCTTTTCGTCATATTAATCTGCTTCCTCAATCTCGACGCACCGCTAACGCTAACGCCGGTGGAGTACCTCTTGAACGCACTTGCCCTCGGGATAACCTTCTTCGGAGAAGAAGACGTTGACGTCGACAGAACATTTGACGGCGCCGTTAACACCGCGAGAATGGCACGCGTCATCGCCTCCTCTTCCCTTTGGCGTATCGCGAGAAGCGATGACTGTTGCCCCTCGTGGATCATCCTCGTTGTGAACGGAGGCTTAACGGTTTCCGTCAAAACGCCGGTAGAAGGGTTAACGGTAACGGGGAATAAGAGCGGAAAATCCCGATGTACTGGGACGATCGAGTGATCTGAGGGAGGAGGCCGTAGAGACTCTGAATGGATCGGAGACTGTCTTTCGAAAGTGTTCCAAGGAACCTGTCTGGAACGAGGGACGGACGAGTTACCAATGCATAGTTTATATATACAGAGACATGAATGGTATTTAATTAATATCAAATATAAAACCTTTTCAATCAACTTAACTACTTAACATTATATATATATATATATATATATAACTCTTTTTTTATTTACAATTTGTGGTTATTTTTATTTGCTGGCTAATATAATCAAAACTGTTGACAATACCATCGACTTGGTCTTCTCGTGCCCTTTGACTTTTGACGAATCAAATATGAACCAATCATGTAATTTTGTTAATGTGTTTATATACATGTTTATATGAATCAAATCTGAACCAATCATCATGTAATTTTGTTCATGTGTTTATATGCATATTTATATGAATCAAATCTGAACCAATCATGTAATTCTTCATGTGTTTATATTATACGTGTATATATATAATTATGCATATTGAATTTGGGATAAATTTTCTTTGCCTTTTTATACATTTAAAAATATTTTTCGCTTTCTTTTCCCAAGTTGAAATTAGGAAGTGCCAGCTGCCTGCTTGATTGCGAGGCATTTGCTGCAGTTTGCCTGTTGTCGTTTTACGTTTCCAAGAAGGAACATCGTGACATTCAGTCCTGGGGGAGAGCGTTTTAGTGCCCTAAGAACGGCAAGTAGTTGGATATGTAGACTCTTGGGCTTTATAGTTTCGGATGAGGATAGGTATTGGGCCCATAAAAAGAAGCCCATCCGCTGACATTTTCCCCTTTCTCTTGGGTTTAATATTTATATATATTTTATATGCCTACGGGCTTTTCCGAATCTATACAATGATGAAAAAAAGGCCTCTCATAAATTCAATCGATTACAATTTAGGGATTGAATTGTAGAGGTTTTTGAAGTTTTAAAAATTTTAAAACAAAAAAAATTTGACAATTAAGTTTTTGTAAATTTGGTTTTCTTAAAAACTTGGAAAAATATTTTAGTAAAAAAATAATTAAAAACCAAAAGTTATATTTCTCTGAATTTACAGATATTATAAAAACCAAAAACCAAAAGATAAAAATCAAAAACAAAGAAATAAAGCAAAAAATCTAAAATAAAAACTACTACCACTCAACCCTAAAATATATATAAAAAAGAAATAAAAAAGAAGAAGCAAAAAATATAGTTGAGAATCTCATCATTGTCATCGTGGGTGGTAAACCTTTTTACTTTGTTATGTAATGATGGAAGGTGTCATCACCAACACCAATCTTTACTATATCCAAAGTTTTTCACTTAATATTTATTTATTTTCTGCATTATCCCATGAATATAATAGAATATTCTTTGCAACAATAATATAAAAAAAATATATAGGAATTTAGGAGCTTCCTTAGCGTTACAACGCTTTTAGCTTTTACCATGCCTCCACTTTTCACGCCGTTTGTTTTTATTGAGCTTTTAAATCCGAATTAAATGAATTTGTATAATATAAATTCACAAAATATTATACATAATTGAAATAGAACTTAATTGAACGAGACACAAATGTTGACTTAACCACTTCGTCTGATTTTATTATTAATTAAGATATGAAATATATACATATATATGTAATAATTAGTGAAAGATTAAAAATTCCGACTGCGCTCTTAGGTGTAAATTACGGTTATAAAAATAAACAAATACAAAAGGATTTGGCAATAATTTATCAAAAGCATCATAACCCACAAAACACTAATTTCTTAACCCTTAAAAAACGATTAAATAAATTTTGATTCCAACCAATAATGCCTGGATTTCGACAAAGATCTTTAAAGTACACACAAACACACACAAAATCCTCTTTAAAATATAATTTCCAATTTTTAATTAAATAAAAAAAAAAACAGAGGAGGCAGGAAATGTTGATGTCTCCTTGTTTCCCGCAGGCTGTGACAAAAGGGCTTGGGACATTCTCAGACATAATTATTTTATAACTAATTGTCTGCTTAAAGATATATTTTCATGTTCAGACTGCTTTTTAAATCTCTAATAATGTCATTTGCCTTCGTATTATTACACTCTCTCGCTCTAATTATGTCTTTGATTTTCTTCATATTCTTTGTCGTCCTTTTTGGTCCCACGTAAACTGCTTCGCCGTTCATCTCAGTTTCTTTTTCCCACAAAAAAAAAAAAGGGTGAGTCCAAATATATACATTATGTTATTTTCTTTCTTTTTATTAAATATTTATTTATCTACAAGGAATTGCAGAATACCGACGGAATTTCCTGTTTCTAGGGTATGGAATAATAGAAGGATCGTTATTACTTTACTATATATTTCACTTGCCCTTATTTTTCGTCCTTAAACGGATAAACTGTCTCCATGATACAGAAAAATTAAAGGTCAATTTTAGACGTTTAGTATGTAATTTTGTTTAGTTTTATGCAGATATGATATAATATAGTATAATATAACGTTAGAACATACTTTCTATATAAGATATATAACCATTTCGTTACGCATATGAGTGATCCATTGTCGTTTTATAAGTTTAAATATAAAGGTTCAGGCCACGAATAGAAAAGGGTTTTTAGAGTTTTTTAAATTAATTTGATTTTTTCTAAAATGCTTTTTTTAATTGAAAAAATCAATTAAAAACCAAAAACTTCATTTTTTGGATTTACAAATATTATAAAAGTTAAAACCCAGAAACTAAAGATGAAAACTATCAACAATTATAACCTTGGTCACCTTTATGACTACTTTATATTAAAAGTAATGTCCACTCTAACATCATGATTTTAATGTCTACCACCTTAAAACTTAAAATTTACGTACAACTATACGTTGAAATAATACAGAAAAGAAGCTATACGTATGGAGTATTTACACGTTAAATACACGTGGACGTACTAATGATATGAGTAATCAATGACGATAGTTTTCTTCATGTCATGTTTTCTAAATTCCTTACTTGTTGATATGCTTATACACTAACGCAAATTAAAAATTGTTCACCCTAACATAACGAATCTATATAAGAAAAATACGCTAACCTGTTTGATCTATATCCAAAATTAGATGATTCAACTGGTAAAGTCTGAATCAAATCTCATTTCCAACCTATATTCAAGTATTCATTTGGGTTTACACTCTTCTTTAGAAGATATAGTTGAGTCGAAAGCCGATGAATTTTCGATTAAAAATTAAAAAACTGTTTGATCCATAGCCGTGATAGATAATTTATTTGTTTGTCAAGTCATGAAATTTAATCACGTGAACAAAATATCATAACGCTCGAACCCGACGCAAGATGTCGTCAATTAAGCTAGTGAATGCATTGATATATATATAGTCTAACTTGAATTTCGCAGAAATATGTTGTGTCCCGGAGATAATATCATCCTCGGATCATATCTGTTTTTTCTCTCGATGAAAACACTCCACTTCGGTCCAAAATGACGACTCCACCCCTCCGACGACGCGTGATGTGGCAGATACTGAATGGCTTTGATCCCGTCATCCTCACACGATTCCAATATCTCCATATTCTGCTCTTCGTACGCTCCCAAATCGTCGTCTCGTGCGGAATGTAGAAACCCGATTGTGTAGAATATATCTTCTTCCGGTACGACCGTTGACATCTTATCGTTCCATCTGCAAAAAAAAAAAAAATCCAATTTAGATATTTTGTGTGTTATTCCAACGCTAAATGGATGACCTAAAATGGAAAAATGTTTCAATAAATAGATAGACCTACTTGTTCCTGTTCATGGGATAAACGAGGACCGGACCGGTGGTGATATTATTTCTAAGGACGATGTCCCTAAAAACTCGAAGATCGAAACGAGAAATGTGAGATTTGGGTACGAAAAGGTTAAGCCAAGGATGAGGATTGTCCCATTGTCCTTCCGATCTCAATCTCAACTCTCCCGACCGAACCCGGTTCAAGAACTCCGTATACGTTACATCTTTCTCGTACATGTACCCTCTCACATACTTCAAACCCTCCGTCAACTCTTCTATCTCCTGCAAAAAAAAGATGAAAAACATTTTATTAATTACGCATGCATATTTATTTAATATGACAACATATTTATATGACATCCACACCAAACACATATCGGTGTACGTATAATATTATACAGACCTCGTCGATGGTGTGTTGAGAGGTTTGGTCGTAGTATTTGACGACTTCGAGGCAATAGATGACACGGTGTCTCTTGACCATTGAGATGATCCTCGAGTGATCGGACGGTGGAAAATACGTCGATCTCCAGTTATCCGGCGAGCCGTGGTGCGTCATGAGCAATCCTTCCAAGAAATCGGGGCCGTTGGTTTCTGATATCAAACTTTCTTGATCTCTCGTGAATTTGGAGAAATCGTTGTACAGAAATCTCAGCCATTTCACCTGCAACGCCAACCCAAATCATAATCCATTGGTTAGAAAACCGATCAATGTTTCATCATACATATATATATATATATATATCGAAAATATAATTTCTGTGACGGGAAATGACCGTACTCTCTTAGGAGCCGGACGCAGATGGATTCTGGCTCTTGTTATGATACCAAACTGACCCAAACCTCCCAACACGGCATAGAACAGATCTGAGTTCCTGTCTTTGGAACATGTCACCGTCTCTCCCTTTCCTATAATTAATTATTCCGAAAAGAAATAAATATTGTATTAACAAAAGAATATGATCGTAATCATATAGCATATCAATTTGTTGTGATTATATGGATTTTGAGATTAGGTTAAAAAAAGGTGTTATTTGGGATTAAATTGTGTCATGGGAATAACCAAACAATTGAACCGAAAGTCTTGCTGTGCAAGTTACTTGACGTGAAGACAAGGGAATAAAAAGGCATATATCGTTGGAGACAAAAGTAATTTTCATTAAATGTGGACAACACGGAGATATGGTTGAAAAACAAATGGACTGTTACTTAATTCCATTACATCTGATTGCAACCATTTTTTTTTTGTCCATATGCATAAACTGCATGAAAATCATGCATCTGGGCCCCATTCTCTGTAGATTTTCCAGTTTTTAAATTGCAACGAAGCAACGCATTAAAGACTTTGGTTTACGAAATCTTTAAACCTTGATTCTTGACGACCAAAAATCTTATAGACACGTTTATTTTATGACATTTTTAGACCATGCTTACGGTTATTCGCAGATTATAGGATTTTTATGCAAATGAAACAATTATTGAATACAGTTCTATATTTTGCAATTGAACACGAATAACAAAGATGCCTGAAAATAGAAGAAACTCCGCTACTTTCCAACGCAACGCAACGGCCTTAAATTGATTTCGTAAAGCTTTGACACCATGTTTTTTTTTTAATGAAAGACACCATGTTAAATTAGGAAACATTCGAAAATACGCACACATACATATACACTGTTGGAGTTAATCTTGTCTGAAAAAAAAGAGGGAAGAGACTCGTTCAAAAGTAAGGTCGTGTTTCGGATCGTGTTTCGGATTTTCAGTTGGGAGTGGCTACGAGTTTGAGAAATCTTGGTCAAAGAGTAAATCTCGGACACGTGGAGCTTGTTACGCTTTGTTGTTATTTGATTTGTTTCATGATGTTCCTTTTTCTATTTAAAGTTGCGATATGGAATAATAATAATACAACAAGTTTTATGGAAAGTTTTATGGAAAGTACGTAAATGTCAATCGACCTTTATCTTTGTTTTTTTTGTTTGAAAATCAAAACATCGTTTTAGATTTGCGTTTCTACATACACACACCTATACTAATATACTATAGATATATAACCAGTTTTAAACTTTAATATTATATAGTTATATTTTCTTAAAAATATTGATATAATATGAGGGGGGGGGGGGAAACGATAGATTGCTGCATTATATTAATGCACTTCTCAACCACCATTTTTGTATCCATTCCAAAAATTTCAAAACCAGCGAAAATCTTTGGTTGATGAGTTGACCAATAAAATTTACGACAACGAGAAGTTATAGAATCCATCATAATATATACGAGAACAACAAAATAAATAGTTTTTAAAAAAAATCAAGAAACGTACGAAATAGAACAAGAACATCATCGTACGTACCGGTTATGACATCCATTTCGACAACATTGCTGATCTGTGGACCGTGCCGAAACGATTGCCCACTTATCCCACCGCTGGATAACGTCCCTGAAAAACAAACAAAAAAAATTATTTAACATTATAATATATATATATATATATATATATTCATATATTAGAAATGTAATTTACGATCGGTATATCCGATATATTACCTCCGACCGTCAAATACAAATAATCTGTCCAAGAAACCGGCGACCACCCAAACTCCAACGTGGCGTTCAACACCTCGATCCAAAGCCACTCGCCGCCCACGTCGGCGTAAGATCCCTCCGGCGAGATCCGTAGGTGGAATCCGTCTCCCCGTCGGAGTTCTCTCCTCAACGGCCGCATGTTGACGACGACACCGCCGTCGGCCGCCGCTAGATTATGCCTCGAGCCGCGATTGAGAAAGGCACCGGAGAGTCGTATGAGCTTTTCACGAGCGCCGCGATGTCGGCGGCGGAGGAAGGGTTGAGTACGGCGGCGGGGAATATCTTGGTGGTGCCGCCGAAGTCCATAGCGACGGACTCGACGGCGGAGGCGTCGGTTGTTAGTTTCCCGGCGAGGTTATCGCCGGATAGGATGTTCCACGGCTGTGACGACGATGGTGATGATGATGGTAAGGTGTTGCCAGTTATCGGAGTAAAAAGAGTTGCGATGAATATTAGCGATGCGAGAAACGTAAGCCTTGTAGGATTCGGTTTGGCTACGGTATGGCCCCGTGCGAATTTCAATATATTTTTTTAAAATAAAATGTTTATTCGGGAACGAACGAGAGAGAAATGTGGAACGGAGTCTCCTGCAAGATGTATATATATATAGACAAGCACATGGTCGATGCAGGTGTTATATACATATATATATATATATATAACCGCACATTTACAGATGTGTAAATATGCAGATCAACGCGTTTATATTTTGAATATATATTTCGATTTATTTTGATAATTATTTGTAGAAATTATTTTGAAACACAGATTGCCGAAGACTTTAGTAAAAGCAAATCGAGCAATATTCGACGTCAATAAATTTTATTATTTACAAAAAAATCCACCGAAAATCTTGTCACGTGTGAATCTTAGAAAAATAGTTAGATTTCGGGGTTGCACGGACCACGCTCACGAAAACCATACCATTGCTAGATTTTTTAATTAAAATCCATTATTTCGTATCAATATTGTCCATGAAATAATACAAAGCTAACATTCGACAATATTAATGTAACAATAACGCATACGATGTACAAGTATTGAATAGTCACACAGCTACAGCGACAGAAACTTAACCACACATATATATATATATATATATATATATATACATATGTATATTTGTATGTATGCATGTATGTTTCAGCTCATATCAATTACTATATCTTTTTACTCGGTACAAATAAAAATAATTATGTAATAGCCTTTAAATTTGCACACCAAAACCCAACTCGTGGGCAATTGGTTAAATTTGGAATAGAAGATAATTTCACTTTAAGGTTGAATGTTCGATTTCTGACTGATGGGGAGGGAAGTAATTTCTGAGTTTATATGATCCATATACAAAGGCTTTTCCAGCCGGAGATTTACCTAAACAGCATGTCGTCGGGCTAACTAGCTAGGGTTATAAAAAAAAAAAATTGCACACCAAATTCACACGTCATTTTTTTTTTCGCAAACGCACCATCTTTTGAATAAAGGAGAACGACACATGGCAAAATTTTCACGTGTCACATTCTTGTTCCCAAAAAGTGACACGTGTGCGTTTGGTTTTAGGTGGTCACTGGTCTAATATTGTTCTGATTTTTCTGCTACAATTAAAAAAAATGAAAATTTTAAGTTGATTAATCTATAAATATAATTATGGAACTTCACATATTTGCATGGATAATTTTTTTTTTAATGTTGTGGTTATTTGCTAATGCTGAAATTAATACGTTATTGTAATGCATACAACGCTTAGTTGGAAAAAGAGCGAATCACAATATATATATATATATATATATATATAGATCGCTCATAAGAAAGCCTAATTCCAACCGTCGGATCAAAATCTCAAAGGTCCTGATTGATTTCCATTTATTTTCAAATTTAAAACTGAATCTTATTTTTCACTATTTGCACTCATGAAGAAGAAGAAGAAGAAAAAGAAACGATAAAATATTAAATGACTAATATTAGAGTGAGTATTAGAGAAGATTTGAAAAAAAAATCCATCTTTAGAAAATATTATTTTTTGCTTCTAAACTAATATTTATTGTTCACTTGATTTTTCCTCATTTTCTATTTTTTTTAAAATTGCTCGATTTTAATGTAACTCACGTTTTTAACGTCTGACAAGACCATTAATCAAATAATATCGGGCAAGAAAAAGAAAAGAAAGACCAAGAACCTTAACCTGTGGAAGAAAACCTAACTTATATATATATATAGAATGACAAGACAAAACGATATTATTATTTTTTTCGAATAGATACTGTTATAACAATTTTAATTATTTATATTCACTAGCTATAGGCAATTAAAGTATTTATACTAGATAGTAAGATTACTGTAAAATGCAATTATATGAAAAGATCTTATACTAATCCAAATCCAGATATATTTTTCCGCTCATAGGTCATTGTGCCACATACATTCCCCGGAACGATTTATAATGGAATTATAGAAAAATAGTCCTTTCAACAGTTTTTATATTATTTAAACATTCTAAAATCTTGATTTTGTTGCCGATTTTTTTTCAGACGTCGCATTTTTTAATATCTTAATAATAAACAGATAAAATATAATACACTGTAATTTATTAATTAGGATGTTTCCTTGTCACAATTAGGTAATCATACAAAGGATCTATAAAATCTTTCTTGATGTAACAAAATGCTCTGGTTATCCAAAAGTGTCAACGATGATAATATTATACATATAATTAACATAAATCGAGAATTTAGCAGATTTATGATTAATCATTGTGTCGTGGGAACACAATGTAAAGTGAGACATGGAATATCCTCGAGATTTCGGTTTGTATGCTTCTTTTGCCACATGTAAGGTTATTGTCATCATATCTTCCTATAGATTATGTTCATTTATTTCTTTTTGTAATCAAACAAATTCACGAGGGCCAACGTACCTAGCAAACATCGTAAACATATGCATTTTCACGTTCAAAAAGTGAAAAAAAATATTATTGATATAAGATACTCATAATATGAAATGAAGGGTGTGGCTGCAAATAAGATAACTAATATGAATAAGTTTATTGAGATCGAAATTTAAATTTATAAACATAAATTTTAATAATAATGGTTTTCAAATTAGCATTCCAAAATTATATTTATTCTCCTATAATTCATTAGAATGCAAGATGTGACTAATCAAATAGCTATAATGTCATTTTGGGTGATTTATTCCTTTTCAATTGATAATAATGATACGGATTCGGGAAAAAAAAACTGAAAATGAATTAAAGGGGAAAACAAAAAAAGAAGATGTACAGCCGGACAGCATTTCTGTGCCGAACGCACGTGTAATGTCCTGTTTTTATTTTTCTTTTTATCTTTTGCCACAATAATTGTTGCATAATAAATTGAAAACATGAAAGTAATTAATATCTGCATGAGTTGGAACGGAGGAAAAAGAAGGGATTAGGGTTAATGATTTCGTGGGGGGATATTTAATTCCAATAAATGTAGGCTTATAGGAATCTTTCGGCCATGCATCATCATTCATACCCTTTTGCCTTCATTTTTCTTAAATATATAAATATATATATATATATATATATATATTCTCATATATCATCATCATACAATTTCACACGCATGTGCGCCAACATAAGTACACGAACATTCTTGTGCCTCTCTCTCTCTCTCTCTCTCCACACACACACACATATACACCCATGCTTAGATGATAATTAAAGAAAAAAGCTTATAGAAATCCACACACAAAGCTGGTAGGTTGAGTAATTTTCATCATTTGCATCCACATTGATGAAATGGGGCATCATTTGAGAGCGTGTCTACATCGAATTTAATTATAAGCTCACGTTATATGTATGCGTATATCGAATTAGGTTTGAATGGTGACGACGATTATTATATAGTCGAGCAAGCCATCAATAAAATTAACTGTAGTTGTTTGAACTGAGATTTAAAAACAAAACGGTTTTCAAGATTTTACTCTACTCTAAAAGAGTATCATTTAGGGTGTATATATATATATATATATATATTGGTGGTAAAACGTGTAACTCGGAACTCATTAAGTTATTATACCATATATATATACACACATGTATATGTATATATGTGTATGTGATTGATGTACAATAATGCATGTTGAGAGAAACAGCGTGAAAACAACTAAGCGTTCCACGGCCCACGTGGCAAAACAGTGATAATTAGGTGTTTATTTACCTAACGAAAGTGAGATAGGTTACTGATGAAAAAAGTGGGATAGATTACTGAAAAGGTAAATGATACTCTCTATATATATTAATTAAGTCGGTCCGACAGCCACATTTTCAACATTTATTACAACAACAACAACAAATGTACATAGCCGGCCAAAAACGATTAGTACACAACATATTTTTCAAACGCCTCGTCGTTTTCAAAATTTATACGCGAACACACACATATATATACATATGTGGCACTTCAATTCGATAGAAAATTACATATAATCAAGTCCAAATTATACCACATACACAAATATATAATACATAGACAGAGAAAAAAAAATTAATTGAAAAATGTGATGTGGATCTGATAATCAACGCATTATTTTCGATGCCTAATAAGAGAGAGGTGTGGGCACTCGTGAAGATCCATGCAAATCTTCATAGGGATCCAAGTCAAAGGGACCACTTGCTCTATGTCCCCAACATTCACCGTCGTTTCTTAGTTGTAAGGAACTCCTTATGAATCGATTTATTCAAATCATCATATATTACAGTTCTAGATGAATATTTTATATTAATTTATATATATATATATTTACGTTTTTTTTTATCATGGTTAACTCGGTGTGAAGTTCAAACTCGGGTGTCTCTATGAATCGACTTATTTTCTTTAGTATTAAAATTTCGATTAAAAACTAAGTTTAATTATTGTAATTAACTCAATTATCATTAATAATAACCGATTATATGTTCAAACTCAGCCAGAGCTTTTTTTTTATATATAGATTAAACTCGCATCAATGAATGGATTACTCAAACGGACGTATCCTTCGTGCAGTCAAGTTTCATGAGGATTCTGTGGGCTTTAAGGAAAAAAAAATCATGGGATACAATGAATTATTATAACAAGGTTGTGTAACGTCTTGTTGGGTCCAATAATATGATCACTTTGGCCTAGCTAGGGCTAATACTGTTTGTTTGGTGTTATATTTAGTCATTTCATATTCCATATTTACTCGATAAAATCAAATTCGATATCTAGAATTACTTATAGACGAATCAGCGTACGGTTCGAACTACGCCCACAAAAGAGTTGAAGTATGAGATATGTTTGAACATACTTTTGTTTGTCTCTGGAGAGACTCATCACGTGTCATGTCCAATCCGTACACATGCTATTCATTTCGCACGCATCCATATGCCCTTGCATTCTGTCAAACGTAAAATTACATGCGACGCGTGATGCACGAGAGCATATTGGACTTTATTTATATTTTACACGATATTTTTACAAAAAATAAATAAGTAGAAGACTCGGCGCACAAGAGCATATTATCTGCGTACGCACGTGCGAACGTAGCTTGTTTGTATATATACGGATGAAAATGCATGATTTGTGTCTAAGCATTTCGTGGTGTTATAACATATTTAAAATTATTGGAAGACAACCTTAATGTTTGTGTCGTTACAGTACAGGATGGAATCTATGATGAATCTTTTCTTGCTCTCTGGTAAAGCTGTCGCTCTGTAACGTTTAATTTAATGGCGTAAATAACACACGACTAATTGCATGGAAAATAACTGGCCAAGAAGGGAAATGAGAATAAAATCTCGAGAAGATCTGAGAATTGACATTACAAGAAATCCTCCAAAAGAAAAAAAAAATTGACTTTATGGGAATTGAGGTAATATAATTGACCCAAACGAGAAAAAAAAATAAGGGCTTTGTGTGTAGAAAAAGTGACACCAAAATAGGCATCGATATGAAAAATGATATTAGATACAATGAACATGATCATATGTACATACAGATACAGAAAATCTTGAAACTTGTCGGGTAGTCTGTGAATTCCAAGATTCCAACAAAGTATCAAATCGAAATCTTCGGCAAATTTTATGTACACACGCATACACAACCAATATCGAACGGTCGGTTTAAGAAATTAAATTATCTGGTTTAAATAGAAATCATATATAGTTAGGTATTGTGATATAAACGTGGGAAAAATGGAATGCAGACTGATCAGTGTACACTATTCAGAGATAGATATATGCATATACGTATTGTATAATTATACGAATACCCAACTGTACGTACTATACAGTCATGTTCCATTCAACAGACATGCACACATATTTACGAGTTATCGCATATCATGAACGTAGTCGCATGTGTGTGTGTGTATATATTTATATAATATGTGACTACGTATGTAGACGTAGATGTGTCGGAAGAGGAAGGGACAATTGGACAGGGAAGATCTGACTACACGACTCGACCGAATCAAAGTGGAGAAAATCACAAAGATTTTAAACATGGTTAGGGGAATCTTGGATGTGGGGTCCGATCCCACGAGGGAAAAGAAACCCTTTACATCTTCGGATAAAATTCCACTCGTTTACCAAAAAGTTCATCATTTCTACCCCCTTTTGTTTCTCTTTTTGTCGTTTTCTCTCTTTTGTCTCTTTTGTTTTCTCTTCGAAATTGCCTAGAACGTATAAGATATGAGACATGGTCACGATATGATATCCATAATCTGAATTTAATTTTTTTTTTACAAAACTGTTTTTTTTTTTACGATTTTAACATGGATGGATCATAGAGCAAATAGATTCAAAATGCAAAGAGGGAGAGAGGAAGGTGGAGGAAGTGATGGGAAATGTACTTCCTCGGCATATGGATTCGTACGACCGAATCTATCATCCCTCTTTTCAACTGTGGATCTCCGGGGTCCACAAGATTTATTAGGCCCCCCCCCGGGGGACCCGGGCTTACGATTACTTCTCACCTAACCTTTTTTTGGTTATCCGGTTTGGTTAATTCCGGTACGATTCGCCGTTGGTACCATGGATTTTTTCCGAAGAGGACGCGTACATAATAACATAAAACTGTTAAAAATGTTCAAACTTGAGAACGTGTATACTAAGAGCAGAATCTTTCAGATTGAGAATAAGGCAATACACATTCAGTAAAGCTATTTTCCTTTGTCAGAAATAACCACATGCTGAAACTTCCACTATATATATATATATATATATATAGTTGTGTTTATAGTTTCGCAATTTTTTTTTAACTCTATAATTAAAGTGGGATAAAAATAAACTTGCGTACGTTCAAATAAAAAAAACCTGATCAAATGCAAACAAAAAAAGTAAGCTAAAATGAGAATTAAAATGTATGCATTTAAGTTTTAAATCGTTTTTTTAACCTTGAACTAATCTCAACTTTAATCAGCATATATAATCCTCCTTATTAATCTCATATTTATTTGTTTCGTTTATTAGTTAAAATTCATTGATCGTTGCTACGTGTTAATGGGCTGACGTCAACGATTAAGGTAGGCCCGATTTATGTGAAAATGAACAGTCGATAGGGCTTTTATGCTTCAGTCCAGTACGTGATACCAATATCGAATAGGTTAAGATCGGGCTTTAAAATTTTCAATTATATTCGGTCCATTTTGTAACCCACGAAACTACATGACCCGGAACATGATGTCCAAAAATTGCACTATTATTATTATTATTATTATTATATTATCATAATTTCTTAGTTTTTTTTTATAATAACTTTCAACCCAATTATATTTTTTAAAAGTCGGAAAAACTCATATGAACCTCCCTCCCTAAATAAAAACTCGAATTTGGCTTGGAATTGAATTTTGCTATATCCTTATAACTTGAGTCATTTAATATTGGATCATAATTTTTTAGTTTGATGAATAAAAGAAGAACATCGAAATTTTGTGTTTGGTTTGGGGATATTTGGACACGATCGACAAATGTCATCGCAATATCGAAATGAAGTCCGTGTCGAATGTAACATCTCGTTGGCTTAAAAGTCCACGAAGATTCACCAACATCACCCACCAAAAAAAATGACTTGTTTTTTTTTTTGGTTCAATTAGTTAGGTAACCAATGAGATGACGTTAATGGTGAATATATATGTGGAATGTAATATACGATCGAACCGATGAGATGACCACGAAGGATCTTATCGAGACGCGATTGATGTTAAAACTTGACCTCCTGGGTTTGTATAATAATAATAATAATAATAATAATAATAATGCTTGGAGGGTTTTATTTGGATTCTTGATTTTTCTTAGTTATCATCATTTGCCTTATGGATAAGTTGATAAAGCTGACGATAATTATGAGCCGTGAAGAACAGATTAAATAAGATTTGTTAGTCGACCTTGGGTCTATCCGATTATATATCCCCCACCTTTTTTTTTTATTTAACATTGGACCCACCATTTAATAAAACATGGCAAAATTAATATGACGACGGATCATTTAGAGCCAAAATTTGCTTTTACTACCTTACAACATGGCGTACACGAGACCTTTTTCTTTGTTAGCCCAATACTTATTATCGGTTGACCATCCAAATTGTTTGTATCCGCCTGATACTTGGGGAAATGATTATAATATATCATAACATCCTAACTAAACAACTAATGGCAGGTGTCGTAAAGGGAATCTCAAATATTTATAAACCCATTTATGTTTTCGCATCGCATCGCATCGCATCGTATAATATAATTGAAAAAACCCATAACCATGGGCGGACCCAATTGGTTTGATTTAAAAATTATAATTCCTTTATAAAATTGATCATCTTTTATCACATGATAAATTTCACTTTGCCCCCACTTAGAATTTGGTCTAGGTCCGCTACTGCCCATAACTCGCATTAAAAGCATAATTATGTGCCCCATATCCTTGCTTTCATGGGAAAAAAGGAATAATGTAAATCGAATTATTATCCACATCTAACCAAAAAAAAATTATTATGCACATATATATGGAACAGCAAACTCAGATTTACCATAATACCCTTTCACTCGAAGTGCATGAATCTTACGTTCCGGATCCAAGAATATCGCACGCAGTCCACTGACATGGCATAACTACTTTCTGTTTCTACTACTTCAAAAAAGAAAGATCTACGCGGACTGAACGAATAACGTAATGACCAAAGTACCCTCCACAGTTACGCTCTCTTTCAGGGTGATATTCGTCATTTCGACCTCTCTGTTCGGCTTCCCGCCGGTGCGAGGGGCACGGCAGGGAAAATTCGATCCGGCGTGAGGGGTAAATACGTAATTGTAAAGATCATTTGGCTTTGAGCATCTCCTTGTACTTTAGAATGGAATCGAGCCTCTGTAACTTGAGCTGGTGCTTGAACTTGTTTATGAAATCGGCGGCTTTGGCGTCGACGCTGTTTTCTCCGTCGCCGAACGACGTCGATCTCTCCAACCTCGCCGTCTCCGGCCGTCTCCTCTCCACCGCCTCCGCCGTCTCCTCCGCCGCGTGTTTCTCACTAGCCGACTTCGTCATTTTCTGCGCCTTCTTCGCCGGCTTCTTCGTCTCCGACTTGCTCCTCCTCGGCTTGTGATCGTCCTCCGACTTCCGTAGTGGCGGAACCGGGTCTTGTTCCATGTGGGTCGGGTCGGATCTGTAGAAGGAAGAGAAGTTTATGGACTTAACCCGCTCCAACAGCGATGGAGCTCGAGCGAGACGTGGCGGGTCAACTGGTTCCGCTGATCCAAGTCCGGATCCGGGTCCGATCCTCTGTTCATCATACTCTGGGATCTTGAACTGAGACAGGTCAATCGTGTCAACCCGGTTCGATCCAACCGGGTTATCGTCCACGTGTCGGGTTATCGGCGCGTGATTGTTTTCCGGTTGGTACTGGGGGAACTTGAAGTACGAGAGGTTGATGGACTTGACCCGACCCAGAAGAGAAGGAGCGCGGGCGAGCGGGACCGTGCCCGGGTGAGGATCCGACCCGGTTACGTCGAGGTGGGTGGTGAAGAGGTCGGTCTCCGGAGAAGGGAACTTGTAGAGGTGGAAATTGATGGACTTGACTCGTTCAATGAGCGACGGAGCTCTGGCTAACGGATTGTGATGATGATGATGATGGGCATGACCCGATCCGAACGGGTCCACGGGTGGGTTGTGCTTGTTGGGACCCGACCCAAAACGAGAAGCGATGAAGAGGGTTCCGATCATGAGGTTGAGGAGGAGGAACAGAGTTGTGGGAGTGAACCAGCTCGCCACCGTCGTCACTAACTCCATTGTTGAAGGGGAGAGAGAGAGGGAGAGAGGTGATGTGAATGGTGAGAGAACCAATGGATGGGATTTATAGTCGAGTTTTTAACTTTTTAATATGCATTTGGTTTTAATATATATTTTTTATTTTAATGGGTCTTTGCTAAATGGTTTTATTTTGGTTGTTCGTTCCCTTAAATAGGAGAAAGATGAGCGGAAACGTCTGAGATATTAGTATTAATGCGTTCACATGAGACGCACGTGGTTTTTATATTTCCACTTTCTTCCCAATTTTTCGCTCCTTCACAATTAGCCCTTGTATTATTTAATGGTAATGTTAAAGTCAATACCTTTGACTTCATTCTCATTTCTAATACATACAAGTGTGTATGTATATATATATATATATATTTCTCATGTTATATATATTTAATGATACTGAATCACTGTAAAACAAATCCCATGCTGTCCAATGAGATAAAAAGTTCAGGTAAATTTCCTATGGCCCATCCGATTCAGCAAGTCTTTATCCAAAAGGATAAACTTTACAGTTTTCTCCTTTACAATATTTTGTTATTTTATTCGAAATAAAAACTTTATAATTTGGCATAAAAAGCATGTGATTATTTTGAAACAACTGTTTCTTTTTTGTTATACAAACTTAAATAACACGTGCGATCGGTGTTTTTTTTCTTTCCAATAATGCATAGTTACTTTGTAATAAAATGATCCTTTATAAATAAATAAGGAGGTGAAAAAAATTAAAAGGAAGGTGCGAAGTGATATTCTGTCACGGCATGGAAATGTGATCGAGTAGAAGTTACGTTCGCATGGGATATTATTAGCCGACCATTCCTTTTGACTTCGAATTAAAAATGTAATGTACGTTTAAAGCTGGTCCAGTTATTTTGTTATACGCGCCTTCATTTTATTTTATATATAGTTTTTTGCATGTCTTGTCTCGTGTCACATGGGTCGCCATTGCGATAGTTACTATGATAACGCAAAAGAGGCATTATTTTCCTAGATTGTATAATCGTTTTCCAATAAAAATAAAATTATTTTTATGGTGAACCGATATTATTATGTAGGTAATTTTATAGCAGCGAGGATAAACATTAATATATAAGGGCCATTTAACTTTTTGGTGGCCAACATTTCTTTTTATTAAAGCAAAAAAATTTAAAATAGATTCCATAAAAAAAGGAAAAATAAAATATTAATTAATATGGTTATGTCAAATGGTACACATGTAAGTGTATCGATGGACTGACGTCTGCCCCTTATTCGTATCATGACCCCCCTAACATTTATATTAATCGTGCTGATTCGGAATATATATATTATATAGCATACAATACATGTTTTAAAAGGTTACATCACATGCAAACTTGCCAAGTATGATACTATAAAATATTTTAAAAGAAAAAATAGATCAATGTTTTTTTATTACAAAGTTTGGTTACACATTAAATGGATCTAGAAGTTTTTAAAAGATTATATAATCGGTAAACGTTTCATTAAACTTTTAATTGGATATCGTATATATTATAGAAGAAAATAAGCTCAAGTAACCTGCTAAATTTTGTACTAGTTTTATCATGCTGCATACGTCTTTTTATAAAATTCCAAGGGCTGATATCTGACCTTGATTTTATGGTTCATCGAATAAAAATATTATTACGTTTATTTTATTTAGAATTTGTAAAATTAGGTGACATTAACAACTTAATCCGAATCAAGAAGTAAGCTTCGGTAAAAAAAAAACGAAATTATAATATTTTTTTCTGGTAAAAAAGACGATTATTTAAATTTGTATTATGGAGCTGGGCTTTACACCGCATTGACAAGGTATGGGCTTGATTACAAGCCCATGTATATGACTAAATCGGCCCATATGAGCCCACATTTCCGTCGCCATCTCTTCCTCTCTTTCATGGCGCGGAGAATTCTGCCACGTGGAGATCCTCTGGGACTTCTCAGTCAGCTCTTAAAGCGAGTCAAATCAACAACTCGGGATTGACTCACCGAGTGACCTCGTTCGTCGCTGTCTGTTTCCTTGCAAGGCATATATATATATACACCTTAAGTGATAAGTCTCATCATTCTTGCACCACAAGTAACCTGAAAAACTTCCGACAATGTCTTGCATCCCTGAAACTGGGTCGTTCCTTACGAGGTTTTTCTGATAAACAGGCTCTTGTTCATGGAAATTTTTACAAATTTAAAGATAAAAGATTTTAACGAATTTAAAAAAAAAGGAAATTGATATATATATATATATGTATATATATATGTATATTGGGAAGACAAAGTGGAGTCAGCGTCGCATCGCTGCAAATGTCCGCATTGAAATGTCACCGCAAAAAGAGACACCTTTCACTTTCACTTGTCGTTTTCCACTGACCGAATGGCAACTCCCCGTAATTTCCACTTCCCGGAGACCCCACTTTCGTAATTTTCCACCCCCCACCCCCCACTTACTTTCGAATCAATCGCAGAAAGGTCCAACAAGTTTTGAAAGTTAACCCACCGACCCGCCTCACTTTGTTTAACTTCCGCAGCTTTACAACAAAGTCTCCCAAATAGCTCGCAATCTTTGTTGTACTTTCCGTATTTTGTCCTTTTCCTTGGGCAATATTTTATAGTATTTCTCGGGACAAAGTACGAGAAATCTAAGTTCATATATATATATAAATCGAAGTGCTTGGTTAACTAACATTGCAATAATTAACATCGTCCTTATAATAGTGAGAATATATTATATGAATTTCAAACACGTATTGGCTTGGCATCTTTACGTCACACGCTCAAATCGGACGGACCTACACTTATATTAGACCCCTCTCTAATCTGTATATTTATACTCGTGAGAATACATATATATATATATATACACTTTTTGTACTCTTGTGTGTATATATAAAAGAGCCTTTGTACAGGAGGAATGTGTGCGAAGAAGGCAACAGATTAGTACGGCTTTTTTCCCTCTCTCTTTCTTCGTCAAAAGAGACTCAGGATCAATAGGAAAAATCGATCAGACCATGTTTTGTTGAAGAAAGGAGAAAATGGAGGAGACGAGGAAGAGAGAAGGCGGCGGTGGAGAAGACGCGACGCCGAAGAAGGTGCGAACCGAGGCGGAGGACGACGTGATGGCCGGAGACGGCGAGCAGTTCACGGCGGAGGAGCTGATGAAGCTTCTGGAGGAAGACGACGGAGGAATAGATCCGTCGCCTCCGGAGATGGAGGATTCGGCGGCGTGGAGCGGGGGTTTCAGGGTGAGGTTTATAGAGGATCCGTACGCGACGTCGGTGGTTTTCCAGTCGGCAACTTCGCCGGGACACATCACCATTAACGGCAACGAGGAGAGCTGTGGATCTTCCTTCTCCGACTCCGACGCGTCGGTGATGGCGAGCGTCGACGCGCGTGGCCTGATCGGAAGCACATGTTATTTCAGTGATCCCGGCGGCGCGTGGGGTTCAAGCGAGGCGGAGGTGCGTCGTTGCACTAGCAGTACGGACGCATTTGATGATGGTGATTTACTGGCTAGGTTCCTTGGCGAAGACGACGACTGTGTTTGACCCGACTGAACCATTTCGAGATAAAAGGGGTGGGGGCTTTTTGGTCATTTCCGTACAGCCGGGCGAAATCACTTGTTTGAAAATATTTAGGTAATTAGGGAAGATTATTATTACAAGACTGTGAATAGAGACTCGCTAATTGTAGTTATGTTAACCCTTTTTGTAAATTTTGTCACGTGACCATCCATCCTTCCCTTGGCAAGGGACTATTTATTTCGTATCGTGAAGGCTACGAACGTGTATAGAAATAGCATGGTATCATTTACACAAATTTGGACCGTTTCCTTATTTAGCTTTCAGTTACTTACAAAACCCTTTTGTGGATAAATTGCATGTGATCCCATGACTTTATTGTATAGTCTTGATCAATCAATTATCAACAAATTAATTACATGCAATTTTCTCAACAGAATATATATATATTGTAAAATTGATGACCTTTAGTTTTGCGTGTCATTACCTTAAATATTTTAATGTCATGAAATGACGAGTTTAAATCTTCTATCATATATAAAAATAATTTTCTTCTTACGTGGAGGCTTCACATTGTTTCGAGTTATTGGGCTTATTTGATATATACGGAAGCATGTTTATGGGCCTAGTGGAAGGCCCAATATCTGTCATGAAGCCGAATTCGACTGTGGCGGGGAAAGTCCGCCATTTCCGAACAATTAGTCGCCGTCGACTAAGCGGCCCGGCGATCTCCATTTCCTTGGCTTTACCAGCTTCCCGGCTCCAACATATCAGTCAGGAGAATCACGTCTGAAGAAGATACGGAAGAATCGTCGTCTTTTGAGTTCGTGATTCTCAATCGATCTCTGAGCTCCGGTGAAGATTCCACGGTTAGGGTTTTGGATACGGCACTATCTCAGGTCTGCGTTTTTCGATTAAAGCTCAGATTGTGGTAGTTTCCGGCGTTTTAGGCTTCTTATTGTCGTCCTTTTGCGAAATTCTTCGTTTTCGATTTGACGATTGAGGATCTGGTGAAGACAATTGTTTGTGCTTAATCGTCTTCAATCGCTCGTAAGGCACTTATGCATCAAAATTGGGAACTCGATAATATCTCGGAGATCGGAGGAAGAGAAGAATAATGTTTTGCAGAAGCAGGTAACTGAAATCCCATTGCCTTGTATTTGATGTATTCTATCAATGTTCTGTGTACATTTGCAGTATATTATTAGACGGAATATGGATGTTATCATTCATATTATCCAACAATCTCCAGTATAGGTACGTATGTGTTGTCTTCTTGTAATCACTGCACAAATTCGCAGTTTCCGGCTTTTGCGTCATCTTGAAAGCAGAGCAGGAAACATGGAAACAGCTTCTGCCATGAAAAAACCTTAGCCAGAAGCTTCATTTGCTTGTTCTTCTCACTAGGGTGATCCCATTAGGGTCACCGCCCCACTCCTCAAACACAACCAGAAGGTTCCCAGATGGCTTCAGCCACGAGCGAGGAACATGGTACCTGAAAAAAGGGTGGAATCCAGAATTTTCTCAGAGATTTCGGCCGACAAAAAAATATGGAAAGGATCAAAACAAAGGTAAACTGATTTTTCCTGACCATCTTTGAGAAGCTTCTCCGCAGTTACTTAGACATTTCTTGTCAGTGTAAGTTCCAGCATAGCTGCAACGCCCGCAGTTCCCATGAGCCGTGTTCCCTGGCCAATGACGTCCAATGTTTCGGCCGTTTATCCAAATTTGGCCTTTCCCCATTGTGTCCATGTCCAGAGCCAATGGTTCATTGCCTGCCGGTGTGTCAAAACTAGCCTGTGACAAAATGGGAAATATTTGCACCGGCTTTCAGTTTTCGTTACCTTTATCTAAATCTTTTGGCAAATATTATTTATCATTTTGTTTCTCTTACCTTGTACCAGGTCAGAGGTTGCTTTTTTGCCACCAGTGATCCTTCTACCCATTCCACGGAGGAACTCCCTGTCACGGTATGAAGGCTCAGAGCTTCACCTTTCAGGCCAACCTACTCAAATCAATCCCAAGACATGTTTAATCCATTGTCATGATGACCAGTTAAGATCCGATGTCAGGGAAAACGAATTTTAGCATTTTTCAGGACCTTGTAGGACCATTTCCACTTGGACATGTCCCATGTTCCGGAATTTACTCCCTTCAGCGAGACCGGGCCAAGAACCCCAGCATTCCATGTCTCATAATGCAGCCCGACGTTCTGTAAGTTCGGAAGAGTTTCCAAAAGCTTAGAACATCATCATTTTCCAGGAGCTAACACATGGATTAGATATGTGTTGACGTAGTGAGAAAACTAACCGGGAGACCGACTGCGATGCTTAACAGAGCTAACTTATTCACTCCTGCATGTAACTTGATCTTCTGGCTAAAGGTTAGTTTCGGGTTGTTTAGGCTTCCATATGCAGTCCCTGAAACAGAGCAGTATAGACGTTTTAACATAAAAATACAAGCTACAAAGCGTCAAGGCTTCTTATTTGTATATCTGATTATACCTGCAAGCTGTCCATTCACAAAGACGTGTAATGCATGGCCGGCAGACCAAATGGTTAGAAGAGGGTCATCGCCAGTCTTCAAGAACTTCTCATCAGGACTGATTGTGATGCTGAGGATCAATAAACAACGGAGAAGAATATATATCAGTGGGGTGGCCTGAAGGATTATACCGATGCATTGATAAGGTTCTGAGCTTTTCATCGGTCCAAAGAGTTCAAACTTTCACTTACTCGGTAAGGTACCAGAGATAGTCTGTACTGTCTCTGGTCATGTTTATCTGTTCCACGAACCCATCCAGTGCAAATGTGCCGTCGTCATTCCAAGAAGGGCTTTCTTCGTTGTATGATTCCCATGAGAACGGGCCACCAGTAGGAACCATCTTCATGGTTACACTCGGGGCACGAACCTGTATCCGTACGTGAGACCAGATCAAGAAGGTAACTATGCAGCTCTCCGCCCAAGATGATGAGGCATGTTTATTATTATGCTTACCTGTGCAGTGTTGTAATACACAGTTTTGCAGTCAGGCAGAATACTAACAGACCACGGAGGCAAATCGTAAGGAAATCCCCCGAATGTGACTTTCACGGCAGAACTTGGGTCATAGTTCGAGAGAAATGCAGCGCAGGAGGACTTGGACCTGAAAACATGAGCCTGAAACAACCAAGCCATAAAAATTTGATGACTTTCTTTCAGGTTTTATGATCTGTGAATACATCTACAGATGATGATGAACAATTTCTTCAGGGTCTAGCAGTGGAAACACAAAGACAAAGACCAAGAATTCTTACTTCTTGATTATCCCCGAGCGATGTAACGGTTGGATCAACGGTAACCAAAGCTGGCTCGCATAGCTTGATGACCTTATGCAACTCTTTCAAATGACTCCATTTCGGTTCTCTTGGTAACCCTTTTGAGAATTTTCACCAAAAGAAAAGTTAAAATGTTTAGATATAGATATATATATTGTATTTTACAGGTCTTGGAGCTATTACCATATTCATCAAGAGGTGCGTCGTAGTCATAGCTCGTGGCGATGAACCCACCGGCAGTCCTGTCAAAGTTCGTCCCTCCATGGTACTGAATCATATATCAGAATTTTACCAATTTCAGTAGTTAATTATCCATCTCTTTCCTTCTTTTTTCTCTCTGGAATGTGTTGGTGGAAGTAAATCTTTATTTCAATTTTTTGTTACCATGTAGTAATTGACGAAGGAGCCACCGTTCTGAATGAACCGCGCAACGGAGAATGCAATGTCTTCTGCTGGTCTGTACGGAACCGCACCGCCAAACTCAGTGAACCTGAGAATTTTCAGACCGACACTTGAGAAAAAAAGGTGAAAAGGTAAAACAAAAGTCATTTATTGTGCAGTTTACTTACCAACCAGTCCAGTTCTCTGTCCACATCTTTGGCTTCCTGTCCGAATTTGGTTTGAAACCCTCGCAGTAGAATCCGTTGCATGTGTTTATCTATCATAACAGGATACGGGTAAATTACATCATAAACAGGAAAAGAGGAAAACCACACACTAGATAGGGAGTGACTTAATTGTTAGTATATTTCTCTAGGTTCCATGCAATATTTGGCAGAGGAGTTAATTTAAATAATAAAAAAAAAGGAGAAAAAAGGAAAACGGTCCATGGAATTTAAATAGGAAAAATAAGGAAAAAAAGGCATATAGATGGAAAAGATATTTATGTATTATATTCTCCACCAACTAAAGAAGGGGGAATTCAGAATCTTTGGACACCCAAAAAAATCACAAAGTGACAAAATAAATAAACTTCTCCTTTTGCCCCCCAAAAAAAAAATAAAAAAAAAGTATAAACTATCAAGGTGTTAATAATATTAATAAAATTATAATCTGAAGGAAATAAGAAAAGAGAGAGAGAGGTACAATAGGGTCAGGGGCATCATCTTGCTTGCACATAATCCATGGGACACCAGTGGAAAGTCCCACGGCCATTTCAGCTGCCCATTTCGTGTAGGCTTTGCCCGGTGCTCCTATCTCCCATTCCACTGGTCCATATTCATTCTCTATCTGCCAAAAAAAAAAAGAAATTAAATTAAAATTATGCTTATGTCGGTCCAAACTTGATAGGGAGAGACACATAATGATCGGTTAATGATTTGATCTAACGATAAGATCAGGTTGTTGCATATCCAACCTGTGAAAGAATGATGGGTCCTCCTTGTGTCTCAAACAGCTTCTCTGCTTTCATCATTCCCACAATCTTCTCAGTGAATTTTTGCATGGCAGCCTTTTCACCATTCATCATTATCAAAATTAATCATTCATTTATATACAAAACAATTATAGATTTAGAATAAGATAAATGTGATATAGAGAGACCTTGAAGGGTCCATTATCAGTCCTGAAGGCAATACCAGGGATGTACTTGAGCCAAACAGGGAACCCTCTGCACACCAGAAACATTTTTAAAAAAAAAATTCAATTTTGTTTTTATTAATACAAACAAATAATATTTGAAATTTGAATTTCTTATATGATTTTACCCAAAATTCCATTCAGCGCATACATAAGGGCCAATCCTAAGATGAACATAGAGACCAGCTTGTTGCACCAGCTTTACGAACCTAACCAGATCATACCTGTCCTCAAAGTAATACTGGGGGGAAAAAAAATCAAGTTTAGAACTGAAATTTAAGTGAAGATGATTAAGGAAAAAGTATAAATTAATTATTTTAATTTTTACTTTGCCAGGAGAGGGTTCGTGTCCATTCCAGAAGACATAGGTCTGTATAACATCCAGGCCTCCATCTTTGGCCTTTTGTATAAGGTCAGGCCACATCTGCACGCAACATAGAATTTGTTTTTTAAATACTATTTTTGGGGAAAAAAAATGAAACTTTCTTGTGGATATGTAAAAAAAACGAGGAAATTAAGCGTATAATAATAGCCCATGTGAGGGGACACGCTTGGAGTGAACCGTAGTCCATGAAATCAAAGCCAAACTCATCAAGAAAACAGAGCAAAATTTTCAGGGAAAATCGGAGATGAGAAAGAAAATTCAAGAAAACCCATCAGCAAACAACGTAAGATGAGGTTTCAGATGTAATAAAATCACCTCGGGAGTGCTTCTCGGGTAGTGAATGGACCCAGAAAGAAGGATCCTTCTCTGCCCATTGATGATCACTGCTTTGTGATCATATGATACTGCAGCTTTAGCCGAAGAAATCGATGAGCAACAAAGAATTGCCAGAAAAATCCAGGCTTTACCCCTTAAATTCAAACCCATGTTTTTGTTTTTGCCCTTTGATGAAAAAAATTGAAACTTTAGGAGTTGGGTTCTTTTGATAATGAAAAAGGAAATTGGGGAAGAAGATTCTTCTAAAAAAATAATTTGCTCATGGGTTTTTTTTTGGGTGGGTTTGAAGCAATGACGCTCTTGAAACTATATATATAGACGGGCGTATGTGTACGTAAATCTACGTGTATATGTGTATAAATGCACAAGGCTTTTTAATATACTGGGAATAGAAAAAAGAAGCAAATTGTGGGACCTATCTCTTTGCTTTGTGAGGGTGACTTGGAAATCTTACAACCTACCAGTTGAGTAAATTTTCTGTTTTTCCATTTCCCATTTTCCCAAAAAAATACACAAATTATTAGATATAAACTGTTGGAGATAATATTCAATTTAATTTGCATCTACAACGGGTAATCTAGAGAATATAAATAGATTACAATATTTTATATATTTTAAAAAATCTATCAAATATGGCAGGGAACTTTAACCACTACACTAGTAAGCTTTGTGATCGCATACTTAAATATTACCACAATTAATAATAGTATGTGTGAAATAATTAATAATTATAAAATCAGATGAGGTTTAGTTAGTTCCCATCGTGGTTCGTTAAGAAAGTCAAGTTGCCGCAACCATGACGTAACTTCTTTGACCTACGGAACTGGGTATCTAATTCAGCCAATCATAGCTAGACACGTGGCTTTTCACAATTACCAATGCAATATTATATTTTTATATTTTTATTGAAACACCGCAGCATGCATGACAAAAATAACATAAACCTTATCTTTATATTTTTTGAGAGAAACAAAATATATATATATACACACACATATATTCTTAGGTGTTTCAATTAAAAAAAAAATTTGATGGATTGAAAATTAAGTCACATCTTACTTCCAGATGAAAATATCGCGAATTGATGAATCAGGTAGACAAATAATGTAGTGTACTCTTGGGTTGTTTTTCATTTTAAATTTTTGGTAAAAATTTAAATAATTATGCTGTTTGTGGGTAAACGTAAAAAGAAATCTCCTGTGTTGTTTTTCCTTTCAAATGTTTGGTTGCACATTACTACGGGCTTTTGGAAATTAAAACTTCAAGTTTTAAGATCCATTCTTTGTTTCATGCAAACGCCGAGGTATATATATATATATACATATATATATATATAATAAATGTCCAAAGAGGATAGAGATAAAATTTATCCAAATGTATAATCCACGTCACCCCATCCATACGTTGGGACCCACATAATTCTGGCTTCATAATTTGTTGTTTCCTTTTATTAAAGGATCATAAAACACAAACTCGTGTAAAGCCTTTTGGTTCATTTCTTTCTTCAAAACGGATAAAACTGTCTTCATGATTCGGCAAGAAGATTAATATTCCACGTCATCAATTTACAGTGGGTCCAATTGATATGATTGATTCCCTCGGATTTTGCTATTATATGGACTGTATGCTATATCCAATGTGTGTCACTTATAGATACTATTCAAAAATAATGAATAACATGTGATTATGGATAACCCCAAATTTGGGTGTACCGATGATAAAAGAATATAAAAAACATATTTTTTATGTTGAGTTTAAATCTAAATGTGAGTAGAGGTATTTATACGAACTTTTTCGATTGTCTAAAAGATACAGATGGAATAAAATACGATGAATTTCTGAATTATAAAAAATAATATATGGTTATGGAGAGGAAATGCATCATCTCTTTACTTGGGCTTATGTATTTTTTTGTTGTGCTTTTAATAGCCTGTATTATAGTGAATGCAATGGTCGTACGGCTTCATCAATTATATATATTTTATATAAGATGATTATTTTCCCATATTTTAATTGAGACGTGATGCTACTGCCAATATATATATATATATGTATGTATGTATGATGAGAGACATTATAAAAACATTTACTGGACGACCCAAAGAGTCAAATTTCAATTTTATTGACACAACGAGTCACGTGACATTGAAATTTCAAAATTTGATAGTCGATCGTAATCAGCCACCGAATCCCTTAGAATCAGTGTTTGAGTATTATAATATAAGAACACTCTAAGATATAGATATCATATATATACATATATATACCTATAGCTTAACAACAAAATAAAATTTTGAATGAGAGTTAATTACGTAAGTAGTTCAACCGCCAACATCCGCATTATTCTCTATTTCAGACAATACGTTTGTTAACTTGCAACACTTAAAAAAGCAAATTTAAATACGTAATAAATCATTTAGCGTTAGAAAAAGAATTAAAGTAATTAAAATGTCGCCGTCCAAAAAATAAAAAGGGTTTAAAGTTCCACTTGCATGTCTCTTTCCGGCAGTTGGGCCTATACATTCATTCTCTTTCGCCATATCCACTAATGCCCATTAACCAAAACTAACTGAAAATGATTTATTGATTAATTAACGGAATAATTTTATAGCACAAATTAAATATTAATGAATGTAACCAATGACTCCATAAACTAACAATTATATATTATATAGTTGTTAAGTTGTACTTCCAACTACTAATTTTAAGTCTTGGCATGTAAGTTTCAACTAATTAATGATTGTTTTCATCACAAAAACATTTCATTTACATCTATAAGTATAAGTCGTTGAAATAGTTAACGTTTATTGTACTATATACATCAATATGCATTATGCATAAAATATCAAATTAAAAATAAATGGTTGTTCGAGCTGCGATCGCAACACTTGTTTTATTATATATAACTATAAAATTTAATAAAACCTGCCTATATATGGTGTTGATCAATTATTTGTTAAAGTTTTATAATAAAGCCCTGGTTCAATTCTCATAAAATAGTAAACTTCGAATATGATCCTTTAATCGTTTTGATTATTTGGATCTATGACCTTAAATTATAAAAAATAAAAAAAAAAATTTTTTCATAACCATGATATTGTCAACGAAGGATATATGATATCATATATATACTTTTTAGTCACGAAAACAATCATCATTGAATCCTAAATTAAAAGTAACTCATCATGTTAGCTACAATATGATAGTGCAACATTGCATTAATGTTAATAAAAATTGTTTAAATACAAAAAAAATCAAATCTAATTAATTGAAAGAAAGAGTCGTATCAAAACCAAAGGCCTTGATATTTTTCAACTTTGCATTTATGTCAAAGGATATCACATTTCATCGACCTTTTTTTTTATAATCTTTTTATCCTTAACAATATCCCCACTTTTGTTCATCCATCCTTTTCTAGTGCCTTGTAATTAGGGGTGCAAAAACAAGTTTGGTCCGCGAGATGACTTGCGAACCAGCTCATTTTTATCGAGTTGGATTGAGAGAACATGATTTAAAAAACCGATTGATGGTCAATTTGCCCAAAAAATTATGGTATAGGAAAAACGGGTCATATATAAAAAAATCCTTAATGAGCTGGCTCAAACCAAGGTGGGTCAGGCCAAGCAACCGGTTTTATATCCCTACTTGTAATATATTTGTAATACCCTTATTATGCTGATTTAATCAAGAAAAAGTTAGGGAGAAAACATTTTTGAAAATATGCTTGTAAAAAAGTTAGATAAATAAACCTTTACTAGGAAAAAAAAGACTAAAAATATCTTTTAAAAAATAAATTCTAATTTTTTTCCAAATCATTAAAATTATTTATAAAATCATAATTTACTAGGACTTTGGGAACCGACCAAAGTTAGACAATGTTACATATATAATCTAAATTGAAGAAGACGCATATTATATGTAATCGGTCGATGCCAAACTAATGTACTAGCTAGTACTACATTTAATTAGGTAAACATTTCATAAATAAATCGCACATTATTATGTAATTTGATTATCATTATAAGAAAGGAGAGAGGCTTGGACATTTATGTCAAACGCCAGCTTCCAAGGCCGCATCTAACCCCTTTCATTAGATCAAGAGAAATCTTTCATAGCGATTTGTCAATATATTATTAGGAGGATAACCATTTTCAATGATAGATTTTACGATTTAAAATTTAAGTCATTGGGCGTTATATTATGAGATCCGTGGGTCCATATGAATGCATTAATGCATGCATGATCCTATCTTTGCATACATCTCACTTCTATTGGCATTCCAACAAACTTGTCTCACAATTTTTTTAGAAAACGCGTTTTTAGAGTAACATATTATATCCAAATTAACGGAAAATATTAATTAACTTTGGGGATAACAAATAAATATGGATTTAGACATGTAAGTATATGTTGATTTTCACATAATTATTTCGGAATAAATCATCCGAGTTTCTTGAAACGTAAAGGAAATTTTATTCTCTAAAAAAACAATATTTGAAATATATTCTGAAAAAAAAAACGTACAGGTGGAAAAATTGTATATTGTCACATAAATCAAAACTTTATAAAACATTCATATAAATAATTTATGCAGAGTATTCAAATTTTAATTCTCGAATTTATAGTTAATATTTAATTATTACATTGAAGTAATAAAAAACGTGGTGATCTAAAATATATCATAATGTAATTTATTATGTGATTTTCAAATTTTTTTATTTCATGACCAATTTTAATAGATAATACGATTCAAAAAAAAATTTTATATAACGTGTTTAAATTATTGGTTTGTAAGTTTAGGATCATAAAATTATACGATTTTTTTTCAACAAAAATATGAGAGTTTGTGAAATTTAATTATCATTCATCGGTTTAAGGACGAATCAAAAACATAATTTCGAACATGGACCGCCGGAAAAAACAAGCAAACCGCTAAATTAAATGCAATGTGACAAGAGAGTCTATTCATTGTATTTTTTTTAATGAATTCCACGTATGATTTTATCATATTGTTTTTTAAGGATAAGATGGACAACCCATCTCTCTCTCTCTCTCTTTTTAATTAATTTATCAGAATATAATGCATACTAATATATATATATATATATATCATGTTAATTAATATGATTATTGATCTTTTGGACACATATCTATCTCTTATAAGTTATCGTTTGCAACAGTACATGTAGTAATCAAGAATGATCTCCACTCATTCATTTGTTAATTTTTTTAGGTTTGTGGGGTTGTGGTGGTCTGCTCTTTTTCATCGACTTTAATAAATTTAATTTAATAGA